CAGAGTAAAAATACAATTTTGCCAGCAGCAATAGCGTTTCGAAAAACATCACTCTAAATTATACATGAAGGATATGTTATGTGAAGTTATCCTACCAAAAATCTCCTTCAGATAATAAAGAAATGATTAGGGTAAGTCATGGTTCGCAAGGATGGGTTAAAAGGATAAAATACGTAATACTCGGTATGTAAGAACACATGAACGACACGTAAAAAGGCTCGCGAAAAATACGCTGCGCTGTGGGATTCGTACCTATGGGTCGAGTGAAAAATAATTTGATAATATTGTAAAATAATGTAGTCATAAATATTTATAAGTCATTGGAAAAAATTCGTCAAGAGTAGAATATACGTAAAATTAGAAATATTGAGTTTGTCCAGAAGAAAAGAATAATTTTATCACTTTCTGATCTTCTGCAGTAATTTTTTAAAAAGATATCAGCTTCTTATCTTAATAGATCGAATCTGTGAAGAAAACTTTAATCGGTAAAGAATGTCAACAGCTCTTTTACGAATATAAACTTTTCACCCGCTACTATAAAATCATTTCTTACGTTTGACCTGGATTACAATCTGGAATAATTTTTAAATACTGAATGAAATGAAAAGCAATTGTTTTTGTACAGTTTACAGATCATATCTTTATGTGACGAATTAAATTAATACTTAGATAAATATTCTCTGAAGAAAAGCTTAGAAAATTTAAAACCAATGTAAGCTTCCGGCAATCTTTTATTTATTTTTAAAATCTAAGAAGGTACCGTATACTTTCTTACTTAAAAAATCATCCATTGAAAGTATGATTTATTTTTTGTTGAAAAATGTATCCACTATTTCGTATTATTATTTTGATACCTTTTTTTCAATTATATTGCATCACTTTGGCACGAATGACGATAGTTAGCTTTTTTCATGCTTAAGTAAATTTATTCGGTCTCACCTTTTCCTAATTCTTAAATTTTTTATACTTTTAACGCTTTTATTTTTTACTGACAACCATTGTACTTTAAAAATTGATCGAATACAATGTATCACTTAAGATATTTAATTTGATATGTTTATAGTCTAAATTAAATATGCCGTTATTATTTTACTACTGTAAATAAACACTTGTTCAGAGTGAAAACCCATCGACAAAAAGCGTGCAAAAAAGAAAATTTAGATCTATTTTTATACTACAGTGAAGATTGCTCACTAGATTTTTACAGATTGAACACGAATGAACTGAACATGGAAAAAAATCGCATTTTCAAGCAAAGCGAAATTTCGTCATTCTCGCACAAAACTGTCAAAAAAAAGCACAAAAAGTCGGACAAAACTGCGCATTCAGTTATGTAAAACATGTATGCTAGTACAGATAAGTTTGATCCACGATGAACTTGCAAGTTGCACTTTCGGATTAAGCTTGGCTTGACACATAAAATCAACTTGTGGAATTCTTTTTGCCCTTCTATTTTTGACGTAAGCAAATGGAGTAAGACCTGTACCAGTTGATTTTTTAAATTTTCGTTGTTGAATAATTGATCTGAGTCGTATCATTTAAATATATTGCGGCTGATTTATTTATCAAACTTCATATCTAAACTTCATCATTTAAATGTATTACATTTTGAAGTATGTTCAATGATTAAAATTCGATAATTTAAACCGAGAGTAACTTCAATTGGTTGAACTCTGCAATACTGGCTTATGGTACTTTACGGAAGTCCATTTGTTAGTTTAATATTTAGCGATTAAGCTATAATTAGACACAGTTACTTTTGTTATAATAAATATATATACATTTGCTATTATTAAAATATCCATTTTATTTATCCTTCAACCAAGTAATTGAGGTTTTTGACATTTTTAATTCATTCCTTTGAAAAAAAAACATTAAAATTTTTTTTTTTTTCAATAAATAGTAATCAAACATGAAGAATTTTCTGATTCGCAAATTTACATGAATGCCTAATGATTATTCTACTGTTACACTGATTCACAGAGACTTAAAAATTTGTTTTGGGCAATTATTCAGGGGATTTTCTTTCAAGACATCCAAAAGTTCGTACAGAAGCAGTTGCATTGGTTATTATTCTTGTAGTCACAAATAGTCCTGTATCGAGTACATAATAAACGTTTTCTCTCTGATATCATAGATGGGAGCTTGCACTTATATTACTCGGGTGTCTACACGTTATAGCTATATGCATTTCTTACCTGATCGATATTTTGTTACTTTATATACTAGTAGCATAAGTCGCATATACCGGTATACAACAATTCAGTTTTTTTAGATGTAGGTAAAAAATGTAATGCATCCTAATTTTTTGAAATATAAGTGAAACTTTAAAAACTCTTATGAATGAAAGTAAAAACTTAGGTGTCCGAAAATAAGGGATTGTGAAGAAACGAATAAATTATATTTCTTTTTATCTTTTTTTCGTACTATCAAGCACAGCACTTTAACAATTTCAATTTAAATTGCAGATTTAAAACTTACTTGTTTTATATTAGTACATTAGAAAAAGTCTACTTGTATCTCTTTTTTTGACAAAACAATATTACATTCAGTATTTTTTCTTGCTACAAGAATTTAAGGGGGTTGTATGATTTTAATTTTTCCTTATTCACGCATGATTTCAAGATCTATTGAAACAAACTTTGTAATAATAAACTGAAGTCCATGCTAAAGAACAACACTAAAAAATGAGTCTATGACAGGCATTTGAAGCTTACGCCTCGATAAACACGATGTACACAAAAAATTATGATAGGGTTGTCTGAAAAAAATAAATCGAAGTTTCTTTATAAGATTAAACGATTCCGGAGAAAGTGACGAGTTTTTTCAATTATTTTCATTTTGAACATTTGGTGTCAATTTTGAAGTCAAAAAGTTGGAAAAACAATAGAAAAGAATTGTTTCTTTTCAGAAAATTGTTCATAAGAAAGGAGTTATGATTTATACCGGCTCAAAAAATTTAATTGATTAGGAGAGGCATTTAAAGATTTTTATGTAAAAACACATCAATTTTATGCTATCTTTTTCCATCGTCTGTACCGGGCCTATACAATGAAGGGACATCATTTAGTGCATTTATACCATTTTTTGCTGATGTATTCGTAATGCTTGTTCTTCTGACATCAAAGCCATTTATAATATAGCTACCTACAAGTGAAGAACGCTATGCATGGGATCAACGCTAAAATACGAGTACAACGTAATTGCATTAAAATAGATATATCGCTGTTAATTTTGCTTGAATTAAGGTAAAATTTTAACACAACAGTCTTGAAAGTATAAAAATTGAAAAAGACGATGCAAAAAAAATTAAAAATTTGGTCCAGGAATATTATGCCCCCTTCAGGAGGCTGTAGCGACCTACGGTGCACTTGGGTTGCGCTACGCCGCGTTGCGCGGCACACTGTATATAGCAGCGTCTGCTACAGCTGTGCTCATATTTACATGCAGATCTATGCAATTTACGTCGTGTGACTTGGTATGGCTGCGGTAAAATTTTTCAAAAAATCATAACTTTTTTATTTACCTGGAAACACACATTTTTTATTATATCATTCGAAAGCTAATGAAATTTCCTATAACATCTATTAATTTCATTAACTTGTATAGTGATTTGAGCTCACAATACACTAAAAATTGCCACTTCCCATTAATTTGATTCAATGTTAAATGGCCAAAACTTTGAATTTCATTATTTCCCAAATTTGCATGGAAACCCCAAATTATTTTTACCAAAAATCTTGTAATTTAATGAACTATAAAAATTTCACTTCGATCTTAAGTTTTTTCATTTTCGCTACAGCCTCCTTAATACTTTTGAAGATTGCATCAATGCCATTTAGTCGTTGACTCGCTTAGTTTTACTACCATTGCATTGATAGAAATTTAATTTTATCTATGAAACTATAACATCTATAACACGTTTTTATATGAAATACGATCAATCTTCGTGCAAAATTAATTATGAAAAATATTTTATTTTGGAAAGTTCAGTAATGCGAATTGAAAATAATCTCTTTAATTTCTAATTTTGTTTATTCCACAAGCTTACTTTTTGTAATGTCAATACTAAAGATTATTGTTACATTTTTCAAAATAAAGTATGTTCAATTACTATAAAACCAAATTTTACTATAATACATAAACATTTTTTACATGAAACTCTATTTTTCTGAAAAATAGAAACATTATTTTCTCTTGAAAAAAAGATGGACAAAATAGGTAGTGCATAAACGTTTTAGTTGATTGTAGTGTGGTATTACAGAATATAGAAATTTTTAGTTTAAAGTCTGTATATTGCTCGTTCAGATTTAATTCCCCAATGGAGGTGAAAAAAAGTCGAGAAATAAAACAAAAGCCGTAGGATTTGCGAAGCGCACTATTGAGGGCCCAGTTTTATTGTAAATGAGATTAAAACATATTGTTAGGTCTTAAGGGGTTACATAGCTTTGTGTGACGGAAATTATTTTTTGAAAAATAATATTTTAAAAACCAAAACACAATGAAGTTTATCCATTAGGGGAACTGTAAAAAAAATTTCACATGATAATATTGAAAATTTTTTTTTTACTTTTCCTTCGTTCAATCACTAGCCAAAAGTATAAACTTTGAGAAAGATATCGAATTTTTGGTTTCCGATGATCCTGTTAAAAAATATCCTGCCTACCGTAGAATAACAGGATGAACGAGGAAAACTGATAAAAATTAACAATTTTCAATATTTTCATGTGAAACAGTTCCCCTACTGGATAAACTTCATTGTGTTAAAATTAAAATTTTATTGAACTTTTGGTTATTAAAATATAATTTTTCAAAAAATAATTTTTGTCACACAAAGATATGTAAACCCTTAACTAAAAATCATTACTTTCATCTGCTCACGATATTTAGTTTAGATTTAAAGTCAAACTTTGTTATTTATATAAGGTACTTTATAATGAATTGAGAAGTTATTCACATGTATGAATTATTTAATTCTTATTTATTATTTGGCCTTTCAGGAAACTTGGTGCAGACGGTGGTGGAACATCTCTCGGAAAAATTTGTTGAATAATCTCAGAAATTATTCTCCATGTTTAAGCCCTGTGATATCCAAAGAGCAACATCAATCTAAAGAGTCGCACGAGTTAAAAGAGAATAAAAGTGCTAGTGGATCAAAAGAGTCGAAAGAAACTAAGGATGGTAAAAAAGGAAAGGATACAAAATCGTCGAAAAAACAAACGAAAGAAAAGGGTGGCTCGATTATCCCACCAGGTAAAATAATTTTTTTGTTAGTTAATATACATGAACAAATAATAATAATATTCATAATAATAATTTAATATCATTTATTCTTAAAACTATAACTACAGCTTTATTTCATAATGTATTTGACATTTACAAAAAATTTAATTATAAGATCGAATCTTGGTTTCATCCTTTGGAATAAAAAAACGAGACAAACATAAAATATCAATAAAAATATTCTAAGACAATTTCTACATTTATAATCACCTTGACTCACAATTCAAACACGATCATTTTTTTAAATAACGGACAATATGTATATATTTAAATATTTTTTTCCTTTTATATATAATTATGTATTTTACGCATTCACATTATGACCCGATGCCTATGGGTGTGATAACTATAGTTGTGAACTTCATTTAAGTAGCAATATAAGCGGGTGGCTGATTAAGAAGTAAAGTTTTCAAGCATTTATAATCATCTTGTAACGTTTCTTTTTGGCATATATTTGTATACTTTTATATTAATTGATTCTAATTGCACTGGTGTAAAATTATCCATTAAGACTGTCTTCAAGTACTTCAAACTCCTCGAACTCCATCTTCCCAAATTCATTAATTCTTCTCCAAGCATTACCATCGTTCACTTGCCATCTCGTGAGAGCACTTGGTGCAAATCTGTTTATCACTGATGCAGTGTCTTCCAATTTACCGAGTTTGAAGTCAGCTTTAAAATTCGTGCTATTTTCCTCTTTTTTCGGTTCCAAGCCAATTACCTCAGGAGGTTTACGTTTCTCCTCCTTATTAATGTCATTTTTCTCTCGAGTTTTGCTTGAATCTTGCCTTTGCTCCATGGCAGTTAATTCGATACTCGGAGTTTCGTCGATGGTTAACTGCCTCAAATCGATACGACGCTTTTCCTGCGCTCGATTACATAACAATTTATTTCGAGTTTCTACAACTCGGCCCGTCAATTCTAGCCTACTATCGCACGAATTGCTCTTGACCAGTCGGAATTTTATGTGATCCAATGGTTTTTTCATTCCCATTTTTTTACAAACCATAGGGCATATAAGAGGACCGTTACACGTGTTGACTACTTTACCGCCGTAATACGTAACCGAAGTACCGTATTCCCGAATTTTTTTTAAAACATCTTGCGATACATAATGACCTTCGTATCTTTCGTCTTCGATTTCATCGTCTTGGTAATACAAGTCTTCATCTTCCGATGAAGTACCAGCTTGAGCACTGCCTGGGTCAGTGTCAGGATAGTCACTAGATACTCCCGAACTTACACTTCCTGAATCCCAATTATGAAGAAGACGCGGCTGTTGATTATATTTTTGTAATTTTATTTTTGAGCTGTTTGAGTTACTAGGTGACGTACGCCCACTTTTTGCCTCAAATGATTGAGCTATTAAACGAGCTTTGGATTCGTTGCGAGGAATGTCGATGTCATCTTTGCTTGTTTTACTTGTCGATGGTGGGCTAGCTATTTTTTCCAGGTTTTCGAAAAGTTTAGTCAGGTCCTTAGCACGGCTGGAACATCTTGACCTAGTTGCCACATCAAAAATTTAAAATAATATGTTTAGTATGATAGATAATAAATGATTTAATTAAAATGATGAGTTGATTCAAAATTTTTCAATACTATATGAATAAATATTTGCGTAATACTGAAAAATAAAAAATGTTTACAAATACCTGGAAACTTCTGCAGCTTTATTATTATACTCAAATGCCTGATTATTCTCAATTGTTCTTAAATCCTTCATGCTGACGCTTTTACGTGAGCTGCAGTCTTTACTTGAATCTACTTCAGCTTCTAGTTTCTTTCTTAAAGTTTCTTCAAACATTCGACGGACGTTTTTTACTGTATCTGGATCAGGAAGTTCTTCATCATTAAGTTCTCTATTAACTCTAATAGGCTGATAGAAGAAATGCTTCCGAAGTGACGATTGTCGAGGAGCTTTGATAAAGTGTTTATTAGATTTCATGGTTCTATCCTCGTTAGATTGTGTACGAATTTGATCGAGAGAACCTGTTTTTACTCTACAATTTTGCGTTGATTTGAGCTTCGATTCATTAAAAGAACACTTTCGTTCAACTTCGGCTCTGACAGGTTCGATAATAACAACTTTATTATCGGTTAATAGATCTTGAAACGAATATTTGCGTAGATAGTGCATCAGTCCGTCATAATTTACATCATTTTTTGAATTGTTAATTATGCTTTTGCCAAACATGTTGGATTTTACAATTTTATAGCGTACGTGATCGAATTCAGGTTCATTAATATCTTGACACTCAATCGAATCAATGCAACTAATGGATCTGGTTAGGTTCGTGTAATTTTTTTGATTTTTTTCTTGAACGCCAGAGGAGTGTTTCAGATCATCATTTAATGCACATTGATTGTTAGCCCCATGATCAACAACAAGTGTACCATCATCAACGGATAGTCTTCTGTCATCGCTACCTATTTCAGATCCAATACCCAAATCCGAACTTTCAGACCCAGCTTCAAAACCTAAATTTCCTTTTACAACATTGCAAGCTTTACCTATCATACTTGAGGTTTCTTTAATAATCTTTTCTAATCTTCCATCCAATTGAGAGTTTGCTGTTGGTTGGTCATTATCAGAATTTTTATTCTCAAAAAAAGTTCGAGCGATTTCAACGCTAAACCTTTTTTTCTCGATGTCATTATTTTCTGTATCAGACTTGGCTTGGCCAATATGGTCAGATTTATCAGATTCATCGCAGTTTCTTGTCTTTACTTTTTGAATGTAGTTATCATTACTGTTCGTACAAATACTTTTTGCAGACCGTACGTTATTTTTTTTCGACTTTATTGCTGCGGTATTAGGTTTAGTAACCTTATTATCGATTATTTTTAAAACTTGGGGTCTTCGAGACATGTCTTCAGGCTCTTCGTTGTCTGATATCCAAAGAGATTTCGTTTCTTCTGTTTCTTCAATATGACCGTTTACAAAAGTTTTACTGCCGTTTGTTACGTAGGAATCGTTTGATTTTTCTTGTTTTTTTATAGAATCATTATCATTTGGCTTTATAACAACCACTTCGGTATTTTCCTGTGCCAAATATTGTGGTCTTATTACTTCTTCACTCTGTTTTTTCTGTTGATGTGTATGAAATGTATCATCCAACTCTCGAACGCTAGGCTTAGAAGTATGATTTTCTTTTGATGGATTGTGGATTAAATTAACTGACTTTTTATTTGTCGCGTCTACTATAATGCAATTTCTTAAATTTTTCAATTTTTTCTCATTGTCGTTTTTATTTTTAATTTGAGATGAATTTTCATTGACTTCCGTAATGCGGATTGTTTCTGGATTGAACTGCTGATGCTCAAAATATCTTCTACCATCTTTTGAAAAAGAAACAACAGCAGAATTCGATATCCACTTACGATTAGATGTTTCTTTGACTAAGTTTTCATCGCAATTTTTTTTATTATTTGTAACTTCTGCATCGTTGATTTCTAGGCGTACATTCGATAAAGGCAATAAATTTAAAATATCAAAGTATTCCAGCTCGTCACTGTCATCTTCGAACAATATACTATCTAAGCTCCGATGCTCCTTTCTTTTTCTCTTTACCTGCAATAAAGTAAGTTTTTTTTAAGTAACCAACATTCGAATAAATTAAAAGTATTTAAAAAAATAAAAGTAAAAATAACTATACTTGTGTGTAAATGCAATCAACGCTTCGATTTTCTTCAACTGGCCAATTATTATCCTCTACTATATCTACTAGCCCAGTAACACTGTTCAAATCCTGAACACTGCGATAACGTCTAGGAGATTCAGGCCACTTTAGAATATTAAATTTGTCCTTTGGTAATTGTGGTTGCTGTTGTTGATAATGGCTCTGTGGTTTTTCGGCGCTTCTATAATGATTTTTTCTAGCCGTAGTAGATTTAGCGTACGGCAGAGGATCGGGCAACGGAGGTAATGAGTAAATATCAGAAACCGAGTGGCTGTGACAATAACTCCGAGAATTATTTGACACTTCATTTAAATGATCGTGGTTATCCAACAGATGCTGCTGACTCTTGAACAATCTGCGGTAAAATAGATTTATTTAATTATAGTCATACTGTAGCAAAACTAAGTATTTTATTTTATTTTTTTATCGATGCTATCATTTATCACATTTATGCTCACATTTATGCTCTCTTGATGTGAACGACGCGGTGCCGTAAAGTGCGACTTATAATTCAGAAAAAGGGACACAAATGCGAACTTAGCTCAGTGCTATAATAGTACTTTACGATACAAGTGCCATAAGTAACACTTTTTGACACGGCGTAGTTTAGGGCCCGAGCGCAGCGAGGGTCCTAATAGCTGGGCCAAAAAGTGCCCCCATGGCACGAGTATCGTACAAAATTTTATAGCACTGTGCTAAGTTCACATTTATGGCACGCTTTTCTGTGGCATAAGTCGCACATTCTGGCACCGCTGCGTTCGCATCGCACTCGCATACGCTCGTGCGCTAACCTCACTTTGCGGTACCAGAAAGTGCGACTCATGACTCGGAAAAGGGGGCATAAATGGGAACTTAGCACAGGGCTATAAAATGTTGTACGATACTCGTGTCATGGGGACACTTTTCGGCCCAGCTATTAGGACCCTATAAGTGTTACTTATGGCACTTATATCGTAAAGTACTAGAAATGTTATAATACAATCTAGCATAATTATAATTGTTGAATTTCGATGCCATGGAATAACTTCTAAATTTAACTAATTTTAATTTGTTTCGATTAAATCGGATCATGTTTAAATTATAATTTATAATCGATAAAAATTGTTATTGTTTAGATTTATTTTATATACAAAATTGGATCAATGGTTTTTTTACCATTTTTCATGTTGCATGACACTCAAAAACAACTGTTTAAGTTACGCCACCTGGAATTTTCACATTTTTTTGAGATAATTATGTTTTTCGCTTCAACTTCTAATAAATTGATTGAATCCATAGAAAGTTTAGACAAGCATCTAAGCACTATTGATTCTTTATGTTATGTGATTAGGGACATTCAACTGCTCTTACAGAGCAATTCGAGGGTTCGATCACTTAGTAAACATGACTATTCGAAGAAACGTGCAAAATCAGGATCTATAACACAAACAGTTCTCTTGGAATTCTATGATAAATGAGAAGATTGGAGTAAAACAAAAGTTATCAGAAACTGCTTAAGAAAAAAAACTACACTCAAAATCTATAGACAAATCCTGTCTTTAGAAAATTGCTGTATCTCAAGATGCAATCAAACTTTTTCAATTTTGAATAAAGCTCTATGATAATTACAAAAAATTTCATTTAAAAAAATCGATTTACAGCACCTTCGAGCATTTGAATAAGCCCTTGAGATCACTTAATGTTATATTTCTCAAAGTACGCCTTAAATTATAAGCAATCATTATTTCAAGATACACAAATAAACTTTAGGCAAACACCCTCAGCTACCTTCTGTTTACTTTAGTTAATTTCACCACAGCGAAACAAGCTTACCTATCCTTGAGTACATTGCGATCAATTAGCTTTGCTCGAGGTATTAATTGGGGTCTGCGATGATGTTGCAGCGATGAAGAATCGAAAATGGACGATGTTGAACCACACGATGATGACCTACCACCGCAGCCGTTACAGTCGTCCTCGCTGATAACGGCCAAGCTTCGAGTGCGTTTCAATAATTTTTTACGATCTTGAGTCGATTGATGTTGTAGAGAACTTATATTGCCTCCGAGTTCGTAGCGGATATTGTCACTGCTACAAAAAAAAATTATTATCACTACTGGTTAGAGTAAATTATTCATAGAGAAATATTTTTTAATAAAATTAATATCAAAGATATTTAATACAGTACGGATATATGCTATGCTAGTCACATAATTTTATTGAAAATTTATTGACACGATATATCTCGAGTTTCACTTTTAAAAGTTCGTTCGTAAAGTAAGGACAGTTTCATTCGAAAAATTCATTCGTGACCTCCCCGAGATGAAAAAAAACTGACCTTCAGATAAAATAAATCACCTTTACTCAAGATATATTTTAACTAAAATACAATTTTTATCATTCTTCAATGCAATTTTTTATAATAACGATTTTCATACTAAGATTGAAGACCAAATTCATTATTAATATTATACATCTAAATATTCATTTAAAAAATCGATTTACAGCACCTTTGAGTAATGTTCTAAATATTCAATAAGTCATTGTTATAAATACTTGTTGTACATTAATACATAATTAATTTCTCGTGTTAACCACTACTAGTATTGTGAATTTGACAAATAAAGCAGTTACCTTGTATTTTTAAGCTACTTTTCTCGTTAATTTGAATAATTTCATTTCGAGAAATGAAAATAGTGTGTCTTGTAACATCGATTTCTCGAAATGACATTTTATAAATTGGTGAAAAACGTAACTCAAAATAAGTATTGAACCGATCTTTTTGAAAATTCGTACGCATCTTTATTAATCCTTTGAACGGGTGTTTAAAAATTATTTTGCTTATAAGTAATGTTCCGAAAGAAAAGTTGATTTTAACAGTATTTTCCACTTCAAATTTACGTCAAACTTCGAAAAATTAAGGGCTCATAGGCACCTTTAAATCAAAAACCTCTTTATCCAATTTTTGAAAAGGGTTCTTCTTTCTTTTTTCCTGAGATATAGCCAATTTTTTCTTTTTTTTCGTTTCTGGCGAGTCATGTTTTTGATCACCTGTCGTAACTTTTAGGGCGTACCGATTGATTTACAGCGCCAGGGTTGCGTACAATTCTTCAGAACATCAATGGTCACAAACAAAACGTAACCTCGGGTGAGACGATCTGGTCTATAAGTCACTCTGTTCCGACACTCGAGCGTCGTTTATTTTTTATTTTACGTTATTTTTCGTAATGTTCACTAAAACTACTCATCGAGAGCAACCTGTGGGTCGGATCGACTCGCCCAAGGTTGTGTTTGTGACCATTGATGTTCATACTGTAGCTCATAGGAGTCGCTCTGAATCTTGCACTGAGTGATAAAAAATACGACTCACCAAAAAACGCAAAAGAAGAAAAAATTTAACACGTAAAGTATACGAGAAAGGCTCTCGAAGCAAAAGTGCTGTATCTCAGTGGAAAATGAACTTCGTAAAGTTTTAAAAAAACAATTGAATTAAATGATATTGTGATAAGTTACATGTCTTTTCTATTCCTCCTCTACAAGTCTAGTGCAAGAAGTCGATTTTAAGATTTTCCCGCACCCTGTGATGAAAACTTTGTTTCGCCTACACAATGAATGCATGAACGGGCGAAATCATGGAAATTTGTTGAACGCAGATTCTGCTCTGAATGAATACATTAGCTTTAGGAATATCATCTATGAGAAAAAATGCTTCAGTTCACTTGATTTATGCACGTGGGACCAAGAGAAAGTACTCTTTCCTTTTATTGATTGAAGAATGTCGATATAAAATAAACACGATGAAAATGTATTGTTCTAAAAATGAACAGAGTTGTAAAAAACAAAAATTGATTAGATCATTAAGATAAAGAACATTCATATGTCTTTCGGCATTGAAAGTTTACACTCAGTCATATATAAAATGGGAATCTTTATTTTTACACTTTGCAGTAAATATTAATTAGATTCTTGTATAATTGACCAATTAAAAATTGTTTTCGCTGGAAAAGTTTGCCGTTTCCATTAATTAATTATAAGATTTAAAAGATTGCATTTTTACCGTGCAATTTCAAAATCAGTCATTGATAACTTTTCATTTATTTGATTAAGTAAAAAAACGTATTTTTTTTATTATCTGGCTAGCTCTTATGCTGACAAATGTAAGTTTTCAGTTTTTTAAAAGTTTTTAAAAGTATTGTTTGAGGTTATTGAATATTGTAAAAATGCATTATATTTCTTGATAGACCATGGCGATAAATTGAGTTATTGGTCCAAAATATAATATTCCTTTCTCTTTTATTATTGTTGCAATTAATAAATAACGTTCATGAAGGAAAAAACAGATTTATATACAAATTTTATATACAAATTGTTTTATATATTAACTACTTTTATTGTATCAAACTGGAAATCTAAAAATTATATTTAATTTACTGAAACACTGAAACATACGAATTCATTTATCATATTTGTATTTTCGATCCAAATACATTCTCAAAAATTGCTGTCATGTTTATTTGATTTTTAAAACAAATCAAGGGCATGGGTTTTGAATATAAAAAACAGGAAATCTGTCGACACGACCGTAATACGCAGTGTGATTATTTGCAACTATTGATTTTATCATTTTTAATGTTCATTCTAAAGAAGCAAACTTATTTGAGTTATATAGTAATTGTAAGTTAACAGTATAGCGTTTAAAATGGCATAACCATGACGTAGCAATTCGTAATTTCCGTCTAACGTTTGTAATAAAATTTACCAAAAATCTTTACAAGTTGTGTAATTCTTATGCAACATTAATCTGCATTTGAATTATGTACTTTATATTTCCTCTACTTTATTTGCGCCTTTGCTACAATCTAAAAACAATTCAACTTCCATTTTCAAACAAAAATTTTCTGCATCTAAGCAATCATCATTTACTAGCATTGATAAGCATCAGAGTAAAACTTCCAGCTAAACGGTCGGTGCCCCATGATCAATTGTAAATGCAATAGCAGGTGCAAGCGACATCCGTGCTACATCCTGTGCTGTATCCTTAAACTAACACCAACAATATTGCGAAACTAATCTCTGCTGCTTGCTAACAAACTAACTTCTTTAGACTTTAATGCATTTTTTCAAGAAGAAACAAAGGTAGTAACTCAGTAAATGAGTTCACGTGATGACTTTTTGATGATACTATTAAATACAATATGAAGCAAAGTAGTTATAATACATTTGATGCAGCTAAAAAAAATTTACTTTGAATGGATTTGCAGTAACGTATGAATCTATTGATTTTCAAGGTTCAATGAATGAGGACGAATAATGGATCTAAATTTCCTTGTATTTGAAAATTAATTTTCTATAAATTTTACAGTTTCTTCACAAGATAACTCAAAGCAGCTATTAGAAATGTAATTCACTTTTCTATTGAAAAAATAATGTTCTTATTAAATTTAAGCTCGGTTTTATTTTATCGTAAAAGATTTGGATGCAAGTAATTTTCATTTTGATGGAAATATAAAGTTTTTTGTATTTATAATTAATGTGTATTTATCTATTTCTAAATAAAATGTTTATCCTTGTTGTAAGAATATAGATTTATAATGCTCGTGTAATTAGTGACAAATTTGATAAACGTTTAGTAATGACAATATAAATTCGATTGAATATAAGAACATTTTTTATATAAATCATTGCATAAAAAATATAAAAATGTTGAGAACATACACTTTTCACTAACCCAAAAACACCATTACGTATCCCAAGTCAACAAAACTCTCATTTTACGCGAAGAAAAATTTCCAGCCCATATACACATTAATCGAGCACAGTATTATTTTTAATTCTGTATTTTGTACACCCTCGAGCGTAACTAGCACAGTCGAACTACACTTTTACTGCTCGGACGAAGATCGAGAAAAGTAAATGTATATACAACGCGGACGGTGCGCGTATGCAAGTACCACCTGTCTCGATTGCAGGTAGGCAACATAATAACACTAGAGTCGCTCATAAAACGTAGTCATAGTAGTCATCGTCGTCGTTCGTCGTCAGGATAATAAAGTGCGCGCAAAAAAAAGAGTGGGACAAAGTTGGATGGCGCCTCCTCTCGATCACTGCTTCTGAATATTGTTGTGAAATTTAATATTAAAACAAATATTCAAACAATACGTCTTGATTGATGCAATATATGCAGTGGTATAATGATATATTGTTTATCTCGGTTGTTTTTAAACCTGAGTTAAGTAAGAGAATAAATGAGAGATTAGCTGTTTGTTTTTTTGAAAGAAAGAAGCGTGAAAAAACAAAATGGATTTCGTATGTGAAGTCCTATGCAGAATCAACTGTATTAGATTCAATTGTTGAAGATGTTGAATAAGTTTTTTCGAAAACGGGACCGTAAATCCTACTGATATAAAATGCCTTCATTATCGATTACGTTAACAATGAAGCCAGAAAAAGTTTTATTTCGATCTGTTTAATATTTCAAAATTAATTACGATTTTTCATGTTTTTTTTCGAAATAATTTTTTTTTTTTTTTGATTTTTTAAATCGTTCTTAACATTTTTGAACAGTGATTTCCGAAAATAAGTAGTCAAGTTTTAATTTAAGATAAAAAACGACTGGATTCATTGATTATTTTAATAATTACATTGTGAAAAAGAAGAAATTATTTTTATCAATGCTTTTCGGAAATTAATGATTAAAATACTAAGTAAAAAATAAAATAAAATAAAATGTGATACAATACATAATATAATCTGAATAAAGACGCAAGTAGAGCATGAATTAATAATCCTTGAAAAATTTTGCTTGTCAAAGAAATAATCGAGAGTCTTGACACCTTAAAATGTTTGCTTGTAACAGTATGAATAACTCACAAATGAAATATCATCATAAATCGCATAAGATCACGAGTTTTTGTCAAATTCGGTGATAATGTATCACGCCAATATCAGTACAAGGTTTCTCGTCATATGAAGAAAATCATTTAAACTTTGCTAATGCGTAAAGATAACTGTTATTTTTTATATTTAGAGTCATAGTAAATTTAAGCTCATGGCATACAAGCTACTTTTTAAAAATTATAATAGGATGTTCTTAATATATTGATCATGCTGCAGCTGTAGTTAAAGCGTCAATTTTATTAATGTCTGAATTCCTCTACAAGGAAGCAAAAGTACAACTTTTCATTTTAAGTCGTTAACTTTCATAATTTTCGGTGAATATGTATGTTATTGGTTTTTGTGAGGAAGCAATATTTAAAAATTATAATTATATTTTTTACGTATTAAGACGCAAAAAGCCCTACTACTTGTATAAAAGTATAGAAATGAGTATGTTCTTTTACGCTTGTTACAAATTTAGTGAAACTAGCCTTCGTATGTCTTTTGTTAGTACTTTGTATGGATTTTTCAACTAGGGCTGTGCGAGTACCCGATTTTTCGAGTTTTCCTCGACTCGAACTCGACTCGTGTGATGATGTGTGGTACTATTAAATTATTTTCTTCTTCCAGTCCAATCCGCTGCGAATATCCCACTTATAAGCATGTACACATAAAGGGAGGGGGTCTAGAGACTGTTAATTCATTATTTATTTACTTAAAACTTAAATACATTGCGAGTACTCGAAAAAACTCGATTACTCGAAAAATCGAGTACTTGACTCGAACTCGAGGAAAAAACTCGAATTCGACGAGTCGAGTTTTGTCGAGTACTCGCACAGCCCTACTTTCAACAAAGTACTGTGCAGATATTTTAGCTTTTGTGGCATTTAAAACTTTATGAAGTCATTTTGCATATCGAAATTTTAACCTCCATCACCACTTTTGTTTTATTGTGTACCACTCAAATATTTCAAGCTTCTGGACTTTCAAGATAGCATTTTTTATAATTTTACTGACACGAAAATTTTTGACCAAGTTAATTATGTGAATCTCTCTCTCTCTCTCTCTCTCTCTCTCTCTTTCTCTTGAATTCAATACTCATTGTTTTGCCAATCCTCCGCAAGTTTCGTCCCTTCTGTCGTTTCATTTTCACTGTACGATGTATAGCATGCGATATTACTGCTTCAATGAGTCGACGATGGAGTGACGACTGATGTAAAAGAAAGGCAAAGCAATCAAATAATAAACGCGTTTCCCTTCTATTCAGTTCATAAGTGCGAGCTTTCAGCATCATTGTGAAGCCTAGCATGAAACAAGTTCTATACGCTTGCGAGTACAGAAATATGTGAGCGGAATGTTTGTTATTTTATTGAGAGGTGGTGTTTTGGCTGCTATGTAGTATAGAATACACGCCATAATAATTTTGTTGTTGATATTGCATGTGTCAAATTTTTATACTATTTATAATTTTTCATTTTGTTTGCATCATTCCAACGTCAAAAGTTAACCTTTTTTAAAATTTATAATTAAGAGCATATGGAATATGTTTTTATTAGAGTATTTTGTTAAGAATTATTTAAAATTATTATTTTATAAATTAGTATAATGTTTTACTCATCAACATTTTTATACGAGATATTTTGTCAAAGACTATATGCATCGATTTGTCGCGTAACTTTTCGCTCGCCATGTATACACAAACCTGCTGCATATAATATCTCGGTGGAAAAGCAGAGTAAAATCTGCAGAGCTTGCCTGTTTGAACTAGCTTTTGCTCATTATGTGCTTTACGCTTATTCTGCTTTCAGGTAAAAAGAAGATTGTGATTGCTAAACGCGTAACATCATCCTCATCTACTCGAAATGCTGCAACGGTCGGACCACCATTACGGGAATCGGATAACGTAGTAATCAAGCTTGATAATTTTATCACATATGAAAAATGTACGTATGAAGTGAGCTAAACAACGAAACCGTCCACAATTATGATGAACACTAATCGGTTTGAGTGTGTGCGCGTGTGTGCGTAACCCTTGGTAGAAAGGCTTGAATTTTTCATGTTTTGTTTATATCAATTTGCAAGCGTTAAACTAACATTTTATTAACGAAAAAGTAATTCTTTTAAATTTACTTTTGAAGAATTTTTATATAACATATATAAATATTTTCTTGTGGGTTTTAATTTATATTTATTTTGGTTCATTTACAATGTCAAACCAAAATTCATAATAGTATTGTACATAAAGCATAAATTGTTACCTAGAATTTGACATTCTAATTGCATTGTAAATGTGTTGGGAAGTAAGGCCCGTAGAATATTGAATGTTGCATTAACTAGCTGCGTGTTTCTATGTTACACATTATAAATTATTATTCTCATGCAAAAGTCTCTCATCTATAAAATGTTCAGTCTTCTTTTTCGCTGACTTGTTTCCTTACACTCTTCAACGAACATGTGCATCGGAGTTCAATAGCTTCACAATGGATATACATATTAACTCATGATGATTTTGTATGCTTAATCCGTTTGTTTGCTAAGCCCTTACCCGTCGCAGGTAGGGCTAATTTATTAATAAAACCCAGTATTACGTAGTCACAGAGCTTTTAGCGAACCTGTTTAACTACGTGTTTGCCTTTCACCCAGGTCCTATAAACTGTATGCGTTGGAACAGAATAAAAGCACGGCAATATGGTGCATTTAAAAACACTTTCAAAGGGTAAATCTAAATAAGCTAAATTAATTTTATGTCAAAAATTAGATAATTGTTAAAGAGTCCAATTAAACGATAAAATCAAATTTAAATGAACGTTAGGAAAATTTAGAATCCTGGTAAAACAAAGTATATACTGTTGAAGAATACATTAAAAATGAAATTCCTGAAATTTCCAGCCTTCTATAGGTCTATCCTGGATAAACTGATGCTCTTGATCTTGTATTATTTACAATTAAAAAATTTTTTTGACGCAGAGTGATGAATAGTACTTTGTTTTACGAGTCTCAAAAAATCTAAAATGTGTCGAAAAATCATTTATTTTACTCCTAAAATCATATCTCTCTCTCTCTCCTAAAGTAAGCTCTGTGTTAAAATAAGTTTTAAAACCAAATGTCGTAAGAAAAACTGTCTTTAACATGTTCGAAAACCAGAATGAAATTTTAAATAATGTGTTAATGTTTTTAATTTTTTTAATTAGACATGATCAGTGCGAACCCTGCAACCAGTAGCTCTAAAAATTAAACATTCCACTGAAGCCATCGATAGACTTTGGGTGCCTCAAAATAGCTACCACCTGCCTTTGTTTCCGACACGAAGTGATTACCGTCCTAAGTAACATGCAAAATTATAAGAGAAATAGAATATTAAAGGATTAAATGAGCTCATAAAAAATTTGATTTTCCTGTTAACTGCAGGCATTTTTCAATAAAAATGAATTCAGTGTATCAAAGAAATATTAAAAAACACTTTTTTACGAAAATTCGTTCAAAGGGTTCCAAATTTGCTGTGTCCAAAATCAATACCCAGTCACCCATAGAGCTTTATATTAATATTAATATTTTTTCAAACGCATTTGAACATTTTTATTTATTTAGTTCGTTGATTTTCAAAAATTTTCACGAAAAATACACCGTCGAAGTAATCGGTTCATGTTTAAATTTTTTTTAACCCAACTGAAAAATTCAAAAAATTATAATTCAACCTAACATTTACCTGTCGCTCTTGTATTCGTCAGCTTCTTCAGTTTCATTTTTAAATTCAACTGTGAATTGATAGTAAACCATTTTTATAGAAAACATATTAATTTTTACTATTATGCGAAATAATTGAATACACGTGTTAAATATTTTTAAAATGATCATAAACTATGTACATGAATAAAAAAGTTTTTTACTCCGCCGTATATTCGAAAAAGTAAAAATGAACAAGTATTCGGAACAGCGCAAATAATACGACTGAATTCCATGACTGTTGTTGACTCGCAACAGGACGCGCGATATATCCCTCAATCAAAAGAGCGGAAATAGAGTTCGGACCTTTTCACACTCGAGTATTGACCTATCCCATTCGTTCTTTGTTGCGGTCGTGCGCATGTGTACTATCCCACTAGACTGCGGAGAACGTGGAGGCGCATTAATAATTGACTACGTTATAAAACATATATTTTTCATTCACACAAAACTTTAACTTTTTTGGTTCAACTTACATTGTTTTGTTATTTGAACAATAGTATATTGCCCTAGACCGCGAAAAACAGAAAAGTCTTAGGGTACGTGTAATTAGCGGCCGAGGCGAAGCCGAGGCCAATGAACACTTGCCCTGAGGCTTTCTGTTTTCGCGGCTTAGACGTGTATACTATTTTTCATACCCCGAGGCCGGAAAATAGCTCTTCCCGTTTTGCGCAGCTGCTGGAAAGTAGTCACTTTCGGGTATTAAATTATAACTTCATTCAATTTACATTTTCCAATGAATAAGCAGGGTTTAAAATTGTAGTAGCTAAATGTTTAATTATCATGTGGTAAGGAAATAAAAAAAGATGATTGCGCTTAATCACCTTGTCCTTGAAAATATGCTGCCCGTCAATATTGTCTTATCAAGTGATGCTCTTTTATGAACATTTGTAAGATCAATCTCTAACGCTTAATATGATGAGTATTCTAACGCCTAATCTGTATTACGATTATAATATAGAATTTCACGATTTTAATATTTTCTTAGTTGATCAAGTAATTTATTTTAAATGTAGAAGGTCCTGCAGAAATTTCACATAGGGTTTACTAGTAAGTAGTATCGTACAGTTTCTAAATTCTTTCTAATTACTTCCATGAAATTTGCTTGTGTACACCCACAAATCAATTTTACTGAGCAAATTACTGGTAACATTTAATGCGTCGATTTTTATTCTACTCTTGACAAAATGATAAAGCTTTACACATAAAAACAATGGATGCTCCACTAACTGGCAGTGTAAAATACGAAGAAGAAAAAACATAAATATGGCTACTTTTGCTTATTTATTTATATAGCAACAACAAAACGTAGCGACTATAAAAATAGTACATAGAAAAGGTAGTTGCTAATAATCAGCCAACGGATGTCCGGTAGCTCATACATACACATTCGTACTTTACCCATACATGTGCTCATGATCTATGGAGAATTGACTCAAATTTTCGAGGGGTACAGGGAAAGGACAGTAAAATCATACACATTATTCTGCTCAATGACTGCTTGATTTTACATATTTTTACAATACATCGTTGTCTGTGGTAAATCTAACGCTTGGTTAATCTAGTGAGGTTCTTTCTACAGCGATATTGAATCGTAGAGAACGAAGTTGGATTTTGATAATGCGACGATCATAATTTCGCGCTGAACCCCGAAATTAAAAATCTGCGCACCTCGCGACGCGAAGCACATTGTTTTTATTTTGAAAACAATGTGCGCGAAGATAAATCAGTGCTGCGCGCCGCGTAAGGACGCCGACTCGCACGTGAGATAAGACTCGCGTGCGAGTCAGTTTAAGTCCAGCATCCAATAAGTATAGATGGACCAGAGCTCACGAGCTACTTCGGCTCCACAGTAAGTACCCGCAAATTCCACGACGAGACGAGGCAGGCCTAAGTCCACCCTGGAGCCGTCCGACCCAACGTGTGTTGGATGGTGCTGTGCCAGTGCGTCGGGAAATTGCGAGTCATTTATAGCGCTCGGTAATTCTAAATTGCGTGTGTGTTTTGCTATCGCGAGTCGAGTCTTCTCCCCCACAAGTCGAGCGATTTATTAATCGACACGCGTGTGCGTTGCTCTTTGCTTGTTTGTTGCAGGTCGCTGTTAAACAGACACCGCCCAAGAAAACTCTCTCTCTTTATGTTTTTTTTATCCTCTTTATTTTTGTCGCTATATTGAACAATTTAAATAATTCAATAAATCAATAATTTAAATTTCATGAGAATAATTGTCAATAATTTATTTATCCCGACATCATTTCAGAGTCTACGAAAATAAAATAAGAACTTTACAATAATTAATAATGTATGTGCGTTATTAGTCGGTTAATATGGCCAGTCTGATCAATTAATTGGAACATTTAAAGTGCATTTGATCGCGTCTAATGAATATGTATGTATGCTTTTCTTAATCAGTATCATAACTTAATAAAATTTATTGGCCTTTTGGAAAAACACCTGCACAGTCGGCTAATGATATTTCAAAATCTTAACATTTAAAAAGCTCTTAGTTTTTTACTTTTGATTTAATTATCATTAGATAATGCGATAAAATACATCGATAAATGAGCTTCATGGTCAGGTTTTTATTATTTATATAAGTAGAGTAGAGTATCATAAATAGAATCATTTTTACGCCTAACAAATGCAACCTGTGCAACGCAAAGTTAAGCACTTAAAATGCTTACATGCATTATCGCGTAATTATTTTACGTTTGATCGGATATTGTGCTACGAAATGGAATTAAATGTTTCCCGAAAAATCTTCAAGTACTTTATGTACTAAGGAACCAATCGTTTGCATCATAAATGGAACTATTTGGAAACTCTAAATGTATCGTATTGATAAGTTCAAAATGTTTATATACAATAATGTACATTCAATTATGTGGATAGTAATAATGTAAAAGGCATGTATTATATGGGTGTTCGTTATTGGAAATTTTCTGCATAAGTCAACTAAGATCATCAAAATATCAACAACAACAACAAAAATATAGCTCACACCAGTAAAGAGTGGAGAGAAAAGGTTTAACTTATGAAGCTGACCCAGATCCTTACGTTCGAAATTGGAAATTCAATAAATCAGATAAAACTCGAATTAAAAAATTTTTCACTTGAACTTGATGTACTATTAGATGATTATTATTATTATAAATTAGAACTTAATTTTACAATAAAGCAGTATGTATTCAAATTTGATTACCTTTGAAAACAAATGAAATTGCGTGAATGTTTTTAAGCTGTTAAAGTAAAAAACAATAATAATGATTTTCACTTGTAAAATCGATTGTTTTTAAGAATTTACGATAACTTTCACTTTTTAATAATGTGGAAAAAACTGAATTAATGAAAGCGTATGAAAATTAGACACGTAATTAGCATTTACTATTTCCGTAAAACCGTGTTCTGTTGTAACCTTTTTAAAAGGTGCATATTATTATTTGCTCTTCCCGAGCACTGTGCATATCACCTGTACTTGATTTCGTAGGCAGACATGCTGGCTTAGTGAAAAAAGTTATGGAGGGAATTTTCGAAATTCAGACGTGCACAACTCTTCTCTCCCTACAGAAGTATTCGCAGTAATTATTTTTTGAGACCAGTTCATCGTTTATTAAATCTTACTTCTCCAGAAGCTACAAAACTCGCACAAAGGCAAAATTTAGCTTCCATTTGCGTGTTGTATACATTTATTTTCTGTGATAAACATTGCACTCAAATTATGCTGTTCAATTTCAAATTATTCTCAGTTTCGGCATATTTTAATAAATCATTCGAGATTAAAGAGCCTATTTAAAAGTAGGTTGATACACCATAAAACAAATTCTTGTGTAGTCTTGGTCCGCTTTACTACGCGCACCAAATCAAAAGGCTATCGTCTCTTAGCACGCGATGCTTTGGATCGAATAAGTATAATACGCGTGGCAATAATTAGACCACGACTATATAAGCGCTAATAAGCGTTGATATGGCTTTTTCTGTACATAATACATGTATACATAGACACGAATACGCGCTTACACATCTGCGCACCAATTACAACGCCAGTTTTTCTCCCATCTCTTTTTTACTCTCGCCGTAACGCGTGCAGTGCAGCTCATTATTATTTTCTTCTCCGAATGAAATCTGTTTGCCTGAGTATCGGATGGGTAAACAACAAGGGAATAGAAGGAGATAGCATAGTTATCGATGTTTCCAAGTGGCGCATTGTTTGAGTTGTGCTTTTTAGAAGGCAAATTTGTCCAGGGTATATCAATTTTCAGCATTTGAAACTCTCAGTTACAAGACTTTAGGCACTTGTTCGCTGTATTAAATTAAGTTTCCGTATATCATAATTGATTGAAATTATTAATATTAAAAGCAGTGTTAAGTATAATTAATTATTGAAAAGTATACGATTCATTAGGATTAAAGCGCAATCTCTGTGAATTATGGAAATGAAACTGTTGTGTGCCCACTTTTTTATCGAGAAAAAAGTCAATAAGAGAAAAAAATTATCGAAGCATTAAGTCCACGAAGTCGATGAGGTGAAAATTATTTCATTTTTTTTCTTTTTTACTCGATAACTAGTTGCAGAAAAAATTAATTACGAATCCGTACGATCGAAAAGCTTAGACTGACAGGCAAGTTAAATTTCTCTGAAGAAAAACTAAATTACCGACTCCAGAATAGGCAATTTGGCACGACGATGAACAATCATCACGAAACATTTCGTGCGTGCTCTAATCGTAGAATCAGTAGGAGCGAAAGAATTAATGTATTTACAAGCGTCTCAATTATTTGCCAAGTGAAAATGGATAATTGGTGAACATTAATGACTGTACATTGAACTTACTCGAAAATATTTAACACAAAATTAAGCGATTATTAAAATCTGGTAAATCTATCTGCTGCAAACCTTGTGAAAAGAGCAATCGCAACTAGTTTGAGCAGTCTTTAGAACTGACGAGATACACTTTTATTAATAAGGAATAACGTTTATTTCAAATACGAGACAACAACTTTTTTTAAAAATAAGTTTTGATACTTGCTATAGGAAGTTAAAACCTTTGGTAATTTGTTCATTTCGACTTTCTCATCTTATATGCAAACTCAACACAAGAAAACTTTCCATATAGTTCCTTATGTCCTCGCGCTGCGTTCCTTAAAGTTCAAACTTTTCTTTTACAAATCATATCAATTCATTTTCTTAGTAAAAGAATAGGATACGAATCGGATTTCTTAATATAAAGGAAAAACGATAAATACGGCTTCAAGCATTTCAATTTCTACGCATTTTTAATTTCTAAAATAATCATTTTGAACATTTTTATTTTTAAATCTAGGCATAGTGGTTGAATGCAATTTAAAAAATAAATTAATTTTGTGTACTACTTGTCTAGACCGAGGAAAAAGGTTCTTAATTATACATGATATAATGTGCTTTAATATTTATTATTAGGTGTCATGCATTCGGTTGCGCATTAATAATTTATAAATATAGAGAGCTTTCATTTGAGGGTTTGGACTATAATTAATGAACTTGATCATTATCCTTCAGCATCCATTTGTATCTCAAAGTATCTAATTATTATATTGTAGTACTTTCATTTTATATTGAACGAAGAACATTTCTTATAAAACACGAAATGAAATTCAAGTTTTACTTGCCGAAATTTTTGTTTCTGACGCTCTTGAACCCATAAGGCCTCACCAATGTTATGAGTCCCACTTTGAACTCCGCCCATTATTTCAATTTATATTCAATATGTTTTAGACAAATAACTGCAATAGAAAATAAAAAGTATTTTATGAAAAAATACAAAAAAGTATGAAGATCATATGATTCAGAGTTCCCCCTATTTTCATACAATTTTGGTCGAGCTCCAAAAAGTCAACGATTTTTCTTATATAGGTGCCACATCGCCCATAACAATAACTCTCACTCTTTTTGACATTTGAACGTTTTTGATATCACAATTGCACTTAATAACCTGTTAAGTCATTGCACAAAAGTCAAGGTCACCAGGAAATTTTTCACATATATATTATACATATCACGAGCGAGTCTCTACGATAGACTGTAAGACCCATCGCACGCACGCTCATGACGCCTACTTGAATTACCGTTGCAGTGCTGGAAAACAAGAGCAAGTGCGGGAGAAAATTCTGCCACCTCTACACACGATTGTATACTTTTTTTCTTTCTCTCATCCATTTCAGCAACTGGGGTATATTAATCGAGAGAAAGAGTATCTGTATTATATATAGCTGCGATAAAGGCCTTTTGAACAACGTCTTTAATAGCGGATTTCGCATTGAATATAGTTCCGGACAATATTACGTTCGGCAGCAGTTCATCTCGAGAATACATCACTGCAATTATGCACCAAGAGAATTATATTTCCGATGATTTAAAGGAAAATTTTAATTTCATGACAATTTTTTTCATGAATAGAATATTGCGATTGAATAGTTTCCTAAATGATACGAACTTGAGCAGACAAAAATTTTTTCAAATGACGAAATGTCACTAATCGAATGTTCATTTTTATATTTTTTACATAAAAAGTTGATTCGTAGTTTAGCATTGATTTTTAGAAAACCAATAACTTCGAAATTATAAAAAAAGGTTGGTTCTACTAGGTAAAATTTTCCAATTTTAAATCATCAAAGTTATAAATTACTTTTTTTTTTAATTTCTCTAGATTTTCTATTTTAAAGCAAAATTTTATAAAAATCAATGTAAGCGCCTGTAAAAAATTTCATGCAAAAATTATTGCAAAAAAAACGAGATGAAAAATGTTTACTCATAGTAAGCATTGTTCAATACAATTTTTTGATGAACGAAAAATGATTCCAAGTATTTTTTATTTCAAGAGCAGATTTTTTAATGAAATTTCGTTATCAATTTTTTTCTATTATATTAATCTGCTTTTAAAATACATACCATTACATGTCAATGTTGATATACGACTTAACAGAAGTACCGATGTATTCTTTTGTTTTTTCTTTGAGATGCTTAACACAGTAATTCTTCATATTTCAAACGCCATAAGTAAATTTCACCGGACGCTCGCGCTTGTTGACCGCGCTAATCGCAGTAGGAGCCTTTCCAATAAAGATTTCACAGCTTAGTAAAAAAGATAAAATAAGTGTGTTGATGTAATTGGCATTTTCTAAATGTGTCAATTTTAAGCTTTTTGATTTTGAAAATAATCTTTGTCTTCGAGACGTTTGATTTTGTCTAACAATTAAATAAGTGACTCGAAAATGATTATTCAAAAAATAATTGAAAAGAAATGCTAGATATGAAAAATTAATGATCATTAAACTATGATTAAAATAATATCTGAAATCATTAAATCTAATCAGTGTGAATTTTTTTAATCAACACGCACTTTCAATTTAAAAAGTTAAATTTGAACGGCTAATATAAAAATTCAGTAAATTTTGACTCATTTTAAGAATTTAAGTGTTCTTATGTAGCAATTTTGTTAAATTTATGTGAATCAAAAATTATATACCTCCTTTATTCAAAAACTTCTACACGTTCTTGACAAAAGAAAAAAATTATTTAAAACGCCAATTTTTGTCATTAATGTTTAATACGTAAAGATTGATGATGTAAATAAAATTCTAAAACGAAATTTTTGACGTTCAATTATTTCTACTGTGTTGATATGGCCAATTAACGATCGATGGAAGCAATTATCGCGTTTTTCTTTCTCCAGGATCTTTTTTTTCATCCTCTTGATCCTATGCTGATAGAGCGCGCTGAAAATCAGTCATATAGTGTTCCGACCTGCTTCTTTCCTGCACACTCTGATACGCGTTTTGCTTCTTATATTTCTGTACTAATACATGCTTATAACTATATACATAATAGAATTTACTAGAATATAACGGGGTTACGCGATAGTTTGCACGATTTTTTATTTTTATTATTATAAATATTGATTTAATTGTATTTTTTGCAATATTTCATTTAAATACTGTTGATTCTGAAAATTCAAATTTTTCGAACAATTTTTATTTTTATTATTTCAATTAAATACATGTATATAAATAAAAATACTTCGATTAAAAAAATAGTTATTTATTAAAACTATTTAAAATAAGCGTTCATTAACTTGAATTTGCATCGGGCGATCTTGACTGTCACTGAAATTTTAAGTAGGGTTGTATATTTGTACACCGAAGGTTATTGGTCAGTCTGTCACTCATATGGATTGTTAGTCTGAAAATAAAATTTAATTTTGTATTTTTAATGTGTGGGTCATATCCTTGCGGCTATGACCCTTCCCCGATAAAATCAACGTAGGAACAAACTATTCGTTTGCACAAAACATAATTGAAGGGCCGGTTACCTGACATTAAGTACGTTTTTGGGGTCATTCTGATTGCACATTGTATTTTCTAGCGTCTTGGCCATCTAGCGGAGGTCGGCTAATCTAAAGTAAAAGATTTTGGACAGATATTATTCATAATGCATTTGATTTCATACGTTGCATAACTTACATGCAATAATTATAAAAATGTTCTTAAAAATGTTTTTCCATCGACAAAATAATTGATCATGGCTGAAAATTTCAAATGAATCCTATTACGTTAGCTTATAATAAAACATTTTAGTTGATAAGTTCGTTTGTGAGAAGGTATTTTTACGCATAGTTAGGATGATGTTAACTATTACCAAAGGTTTAACAACATATACTTATTATATACACTGAAAAAAATTTGGACTGAATGATAGATCTCTACAGTGTGAACACATCTTATACTCTTCAAATGAACGAGTATTTATGACACAGTGAACACACGAAGTACATACTAATATTTTGAACGGAATCATTTCTCACTGTAACAAGGATTTGACTTTACGTGTGACGGTAAATTGCGATGTCGATAATTTCTCTATTGTTATTTTTTTACGAGGGATAACTTATAAGAAATATTTTTTTTATCTTTGCTGCTGCTTACAAATATCTATAGGGAATTAGTTATTAACATTTCAATTGTTAAAACCATAATAACTAAGAAACTATAACAGATATCAAAAAATGAGTATTTGTTACCTTTATGATAAAACGATTAGATTAATTTTTTTTTTAATAACAAAGTTTTTACAATATTATTCGAACGTGTAAAGAAAATAGGCTCGTTTATGTAAGATTTTACTGGAACATAGTCCAAGCGCCCCGACAACAAAAAGTGCTAGATAATCGCGTTCACCGTGAACCTAAATTTCTGTCCCCATCATCGTGAACTTTTTCCAAGTTAGCTGTTGATTATGAAGTAAAGACACATAAAATATTAGTAATGTACAGTATATTATCTCCTAACAAAATAAAATGTTTATTAATTTCATTAGCAAAATTAAATACTTATCATTATTCATGATAAAATTATTCTTCGTATACAGATGTTTTTTATTTTATTTTTACAGATGTCACAGTGGAATACGTTAGAGGGCTGCCGAGAATTACTATGCCACTGCCATCGAGACTGGAAAAGTGTCAGTTTACGCTACGACCAATTACACAAACAGTCAGTGATTTTCTCAATATGATTCAACAAGAGGATCCTGCTGTAATGCAAATCAGTGTAACGAGCCTTGGTACGCATCATTTTTCTTATTAAGTCTGATCATGTTGTTAATTAATGAACCGCATATTGAATTGCTTTAACAATCATGCGAAATTTAAAATTTGAATATAAAATTATTTGTAATGTAATTAGAGTAAATAATTTTATAATTGCAACGAAACAGCTTATTTTCGATTTGATTTTCTATAGACGGAGTAAGATTAAGTGGTACTAACAGAATAGAGACGCTTCTATTGGACGATTTTAATCTATTGATAAATGATAAACTGTACCTAGTATCGCCTCCCCCGCATGTAGAAGCACCTAAGGTAAATAATCAACTGCACACATTTGACTTTTCGTTTTGATTTCCTCTAGAATATTTTTTTTAAATATTTCTATTATTTCAGGAGAATTTACGTCAAATGCAAGATTTGCGAGCAATGGTTTGTCAACTTTATGAAGCTTTCAATGCTCGAGAACATCAAGCTGAAATGGAACGCGATGTCATGCTACAACTAGAAGAAGTAAAAGCCGAGCTTGAACCACTAGAGCAGGTATGAACATTTTTAGAAGAACCATGTAAAAGAATAAATAAATTTCATTCTACTTTGATTTTGTATGACATTTTAGTTACGTCTTGATTTGGAAGTATCTGCTGCTCGAAGATCTCAGTGGGCCTCATGGGGTTGCCTGGTACTTATGTCAATACAATTTGGTGCTCTAGCTCGGCTTACTTGGTGGGAATACTCATGGGATATTATGGAACCAGTCACGTACTTTGTTACCTACGCAACAGCCATGGGCTGTTATATTTATTTTCTATTAACGAGACAGGTATGAGCTTGAATTTAAAAAAAAACATTAAAATAAAAATTGGAAAAAAAAATCATCATTGAAATACATATAAACTATTTTTTTACAAATTATATTAAACTTGGACCATTTATCGAAATTTACCATTCATATTGTTGGGAAATAAAAATTATTTAAGAAGGTGCGGGTGTTCTATAGAATATAGTAGTAATGCACATACTAGCTAGTTCATCTATTATTGTAATAAGGATTGAATTTCAACCATAAAAAAATAATTCTTTTGGTTTTTATTACGCGGCAATGAAAAAATTTATTATTAAAGGAACAGGTAAGAAATGAACATTCAAGCAACTTGCTTTTCATGAGTCTTTTGTGACAATGCAGTCTCTGCATTCAACGTAATATTCATATAATCGTCAAATAAAAATCTAACAAAAGCATTAGCATTTTATTTTTTAGTAGCTTTATAATTTTATTTAATTAATGATTAAATTTATTTCAATAATGAAAATATTTAGCTTAAAGTGTGAATTGTGAGTAGATTAGTTATTTTTCATTTATTTGAATGTGTTGCATCTTTAGATTTATAAAAAAAATTGTTTGAAACTCAACGATTCCTATTTTAATTCAGATATATAATATTTGTGAAACAAATACACTCGCACCTGCCTTATGTGGACAAGCATATTAACACCTTTAAACAATATTTATTACTGTTGTTTAACTTTTTTCTAATAATTCGGCTTTTCTTTAATATAAAAATTCATTAAAAGATTGTGAGTCCTTGTTCGAAGATCCTCGACATTTTACAATTTTTCGATATATTTACATCTTGTACAATTTATATAAGTAAGGACGAAATTATAAACTAATTAATTTTTCGCGATGTAATATAACACCTTTTTTACACTCAAGTCTTCAGCGTATGATAAAAACTCACGCACAAAAGTACACCACTATAATTTAGCATCAAATATAGTACAACAAAGTACTTATATTTTTTATCTTCCTTACGAAAACTAATTTTTTAACTTGTAATAAAAATTTTTTTCAAACCTTTAGGAATATTTCCTGCCGGAAGTGTTTCGACGGGAGCACCTGATTGGATTTCACAAAAAAGCAAAGAAACTGGGCTTCGATCTCGAACACTACAACAGGCTCAAAGATGAAGCTTACGAGCTCGAAACAATGTTAAAAATTATTCGTGGCCCACTACATATTCATCAATGTCTTGTCGAACAAAAACGTCGTGAACGGCTCGAGCAATGTCGTTCAAGCAGTAGCAGCAGTAGTAGCAGTTCCTCGTCGTCACGTTCTAAGAGCACAAGTCCTTCACCCGAGCGAGTATCGCAAAAAGATAAAGTCGATAGTAATAGTAAAAAACCACCTTCGGCTGTGATTAATTAAAAATATTTTGACGTTGAAATTTAACTTATTATTATTATCATTTTTATTAAAATTATTATTCGTAGTATTAAATGTTTGAAAATTAGTATTCTGTTTTATTGATGAATATTCAATTGGGCTTAACTGTATCATATGTATAATTTTCTGTATTAGACGATTTTTCTTGATTCATTCATGTAACTGTGACAATATGTATTGAAATGTTCAATTTGTTAGTAATATTTGGTAAAGTAAGACGTTTTTATAAATCTTCTAAGCTCAGTTGTTAAAACAGATTTGATGAAAAAGTACAACATTTTACTATTGAAATTGAAATTACCGAGCAAGTACAGTGTACTTAAAGATGTGCTATAGAAAGATTAGCAAGGAAAATATATAATTATATATATAAAATACAAGGACAGTTCCTCAACTGAAATTTTAATACTGCAGTTTATACCTAAACTGATTAGTTGTTATACTGGTTAGTTGTTGATTTGCTAATAATTTATGTTGAAGTTGGAAAATATTAAATCACTACTTAATTAGGTAGCATTGAATCCTTGAATACTGTATGTGTCTGAATGTATAATCTCACTAATTTTAATTTTATAAAAAATTAATCTATACAATACTTGTAGCAAAGATATTAATTATTTGAACCAAAATATTGTATAATGTTGTCTCATTGCAAGATTGGGGAGAGAATGTATACAATATCTATTAATTAGACATAGATTTATAAATAACATCTCTATTTATTTGTCATTGCTACATTAAAATACTCTTGTAAAATGTTGTGTATAATGAATATTGATATTTCATTTAAAGTTGAAAAAATTGAGTTAATAATTTGAAACCAGCAATCTAATAATTTTGTATAATACAGTAAATATGATTAATTATAATATCGTTTTCGTCAACTATGTATCTTGACATTTTTTTGTGTGCTATATTAACTTTATTACTAATTAAATATAAGTTTGAAACTAATTAGTGCATTACATTAATTATAAAAAATCTTTAATGCAAGAAAATACTAAAGCGGCATAGAAAATAATTGCAAAGAAACCCGAATTAAGTTTAAAAGCAAGTTTTTATTATTAATTTAGTTTTTCTAACATAAGTAAAATAGTTATAAGTGTGTCTTTTTGTATCTCAATGACAGCTGCACTTACATACTGTTTGAGCAAAGTAATAAAATATATTTATCTAATAATCAGTTTCAACCATTTAAGTTCAGTGCAGCATTTCAGTGAGATGAAATTTTGTATGTACATGGAATGTATGTACATGAAAAATATTAGAGTCTTTGAAGCTTATATTCAATGATAATGGTGCTTATAAAATTAAATACAATTTTTCTTGTCATAAACTGAACCTGTCTTCTATGAAAATAATGAATATCTAAGACATAAAGTCGTGAAGTGGATAATTCAAATAATAGAAAAATGTGCATGTATATGAACTTATCAAAATATTATATATCATAAGATATTTGACATTTTCATCAGTTTCTACTTTTTAATCAATTTACAAAAAGTATGTTTAATTGTTTCTGACCATTTCTCTCTTGAACTGAATCGATATATTAAATAATTACAGCAGATCATAAAAAGAATTACTTATTAATTCAAATGCGACCTTCTGGCCTAATTAATGGTGAAAAAATTGTCTGAATCACGAATTTTCTCAATATATTTAAAACAACTTCTTCTGATAATACAGGAAAAACCATATTGTACAATTTTTCAGCAACGTGATAAAATTTAATTTACTAGAGAAAAAAAAATTTATTGGAATTTAAATTTTACAGAAAAATTTCATCAGAATCTCTACTTTCTCTCTATTGTTAAGAATTATTAAAGATTTAAATTTAATAATTTAATTTAATTTAATTATTATTGAAAAATGATTGATAAAGTGAAAGTTGATTCCATTTTACATATTTCAGTTCAGTCTCAAAGACAATTTTTTTTGTGTTATTACCCTAATTTTAAGATTTAAACAATAATCTCAATTTTTGATTTTAAGGTGCATAAAATCTATAAAAAATAGCACAATTTGTCTACCTAAGATTAGTAAATATAATGAATAATTTATTCTTACAAATTGTAATCTAATGTCATGAGCTTAAACAAACACTAAAAGCTCATATGTATTACTGCTTCCAAAATATAAAACATTTTTTAATGAAAATTATCTTGTTACAGTTGAAAATACTAAACATTTGAAGTATGCAAAGAGGCTTCCTTAGATAATTTACTGAAAGTACAATTTTTGAATTAGTATGCTGCAATTTAAAATTGTAGCTTTCTTAGATCTAGTTTACAATAAGTAATTTTACAACGCTTTTGCACGCATTAGATAAAAAACTTTTCCTAGAATTTTTTAATTCTTTGAAAACAATCAATAATAACTTTATTAAATAATATGATAAGTAATCACAAAGCCTAAAAACCAACTATAAAAGCCTTAGAAAATGTTTAGTAAACTATAAAAGCTTGTACAAATTATAAAACCTTTTTAAATTAATTTTCAATTTTTTCCTCATTACATAGGTTAAATTAGAAATTCACTGAAGCTTCATCCGTCCACTGAGTGGGTTATTAAATTGTTCATAGTAAAAAAAAAAATATTCAAACATAAACCTTAGATAATTTAAATTATTAGAATTAATAATTCTTTTAACTTAAAAAGTGTTAACAATTAAAGTACAATTTCTGCACTGTCAATATTAAAAATAATGATTAATTTCACTAAAACTTCTAGTTATATAAAACTAAAAAATCTCACTATTTAATATAAGGTAAAAAATTTTACTAATTTTAAACTATATTCATTCGACTTTACTGCTAAAATTATATGAACTACTAAACCCTTCAATTTAGACTACTCAATATACTTAATTACAAATTGAATAATTGATTTGTTAAGTAATAAATTTTATAAAGAAATTCTCAACAATCAAACTTATAAATCAAGTGCCAATCTTGAATTTAGGAAATTTTTCTTTCACAATTATAACTAACTTTGCTTCACATAACCATTCTCAATTGTCTATTTTATCATATTTTTAAATTAAAATTTTTTATTCTACCTCAAATTTCCTTCATAAAGGATATGCTCTGCTCTTAAGCTCTTAATTCTTTTTAAAAATTGTATAAGTTTTTTCATTTACTTTGCTGAAAGTAAAAAAAATTTAATTTTAATTAAAAATTAGTTCGGTATTGTACTATGTATTTTATGCATTTTACAAATACAATTACTGATTTTTTAGCAACTGATTGCTTTAGGTGAACCAAGAAATGACCATGAATTTTACTTAAGTGTGAAATGCTTAAAGTAATAATTGAACCTTTATAATAATCACAGAAATTCAAAATACGTAAATCAATGGTACTTTTGTATGATGTAAAGTTTAAACAAAAAACTTTGTATTGAGAGAATTTCAGCTTATTAAATTTAAATTTTTTTCGTCGATTTGAATTTACAATTGTACTTTTAAATTAATTTGGTACAACAATGATGTTCGAAATGTTATTATAAATGTAATGCATGTAAATAATTTTAAATAAATGCAGTATTTATTCAAAACTAATTTTTATTTTCGCCAACTTCTGAGAATAATTTGAAAACGCGGATCAAGGAATCCGATTTTCCAAGTTTCTCAGTTTACTCTACGTTACATACCTATGGCAGTATGCCTCAGTTCTCGCGTCCCGATTCTATTTCTACCTATTACTTATATCAGTTGTGAATTTTTCTTATTGTCACTGGATTCTGGAATCCTCGAACCTCGTCTTCTGCAAATAAATTGCATGTGCGCATTGCGCAATCTCGCCATTTCTATCTTCATGATTGATCGATTTTCATTTTTCCATGTGACCTTATTTAATGAGGTTATAAACATTCTTGAAAGTGAAAATACTGTGTTAATTTTTTTAAATATTTCAAAAGTAACTTAAAACTGAAACAATTAACAGCTTTTTATTGATTTAATACTAAGATACTGTCAGTTCAAAAACCTGGAATAATTATGGCACTTGCTCTACAAAGATTGAAAAAGAGATATCCATCAGTGGAAATGGAGGAATTAAAACCACCAAGAAAAAATGGAAGATTTGATGGCTTGACTGAAGAAGAAGTGGCCAAAAATACACTCAAAGATATTCTGAAGCCCAATTTGGATTTGGTTTTTGTTGGTATCAATCCTAGTCTGATGGCAGCCCACACTGGCAGGTATTACGCTGGACCTGGAAACCATTTTTATAAACTATTATATGCTTCTGAATTGATTCCGCAACCCATAACTCATGAAAATGATGATATGCTTTTGCAATATAATATTGGTTTGACAAATATAGTTGCTAGAGCAACTAGATCATCAGCTGATTTAAGTAAAGCTGAAATTAGAAAAGGTGCTTTGATCGTTCAAAGTAAACTTAGACAATATGAACCAAAGATTGCTATATTTAACGGTAAATGTATTTACGAAGAATTTGCTGAAAAATATGATAAGTCTTCTTTTCGCTTTGGTTTACAACCATCCAAAGTTGGTAAAACTGCACTTTGGGTTGTTCCCTCTAGCAGTGCTAGATGCGCTAATTTTCCAAGAATGCAAGATAAGCTACATTTTTATACAGCTTTGAAAAAATATCTTGCATACTTAAAAGGTGAAATTGAAAATGTTAATCTTGAAGAATTTTCATTTGAAGGTAGATGTAAGCAAGCGATTCCTAGTACATCTAAAATGTGGAGACGTAAGGGTATTTCTGTTTTTACCAATGGAGGTAAAATAGTCAATAAAGAAACAATTTGCATGGATACTTCAGATGAAAATATCTTAGCAATGGCTGTTCCAAGAAGTACAGAATTCATTGTAAAAAATGTCAAAGAAAGCGATTCAGAGAAAGATTCCAATGCAACATTTTCTCAAAGTGATAATTTAATGTCACAAATCTCTGACATAGATAGCAACAAGAATATTTCTTCCCAAGAGTTAAAGTTATCCCCCAAAAGAAAATACAGAATCCAAAAAGGGAAAGAAAAAAAAATATCAGAGAAACCAACTATTGAGCCTAAAAGTCGTAAAGAAACTATTGATTTTATGAGTCTTATAAAACAAAAATTAAGTAACAAAGAAGATGAATTAAGTAAAGATCAAAATATCAAAGAAAGTACTTCTAAAAAAGTAAAATTGTCATCTAGATCCAAAGTAACATCAGGACTAAAATTTGCAAACTTGCAGTCTAATAAAACAATCAAATCTTTCAAAGTCAAAACATTAGATGATGGAGAGGAAAATGAACATTAACTAACATAATTTGTATAAAGTATTTGATTTTAAAATGAAAACAGTAAATTCATTCAAAGTTTATAACTTTAATGATAAAATAGAACTTTTTACATAAAAAAATATCAAATTATAGTTTTTATCAGTATTCATTAAAAAATTAAGCTTTTGAGAATTAAGTATTATTATGAAGGTTATTTTTATTATTATAAATCTTGTAAATTATTTATTTTTAATACCATATAGCATGAATAAAAGTTTGTATTTCGTTTGGTAAAAGGTTTCAATTTATGATTTTTGAGTTCCCAAAAAAAGTGAAAAAATATGACTCAGCCATATTTAAAAAAAAATTTCTCAATAGTTGCTCTTAATTTTTTTTTTTTTTTAATAATCGCAAATGGTTAATGTACTCCATGTATTACACAAACGTCTATTTTAGAGACATATTTAATGCTAGCTATGTATGACAAGGCAAAATTTTCGTTAAACCATATTAATGGCGATAATGCATGACGAGCACAAAACTCGATAATTTTAATGATAAAAATATTCTAGTTATAAAAATGCTCATCTTGTAAAAATTTTGAATTCAAATATTCAATATAGATGCTCCATCTTCATGTGCGTCTATATTGATAAGAGAAATGTAATTACATTTATTATTACATTACATAGTCTACATTAATGTAGATGGAAAAATGGCGGGTAATTATTTGAATCGACAAATAGAAACAATTTAGCCAATAAGACTACAAAAGGTTTGGAATTATTTAGTTGTGTAGAGAAAATTTGGGCTAGTTAAAGTGAAGAAGTTTCTTGGTAATTTTCCCTAAAATGTATATTCATTAACTTATTAGCGATTGAAAATGAAAAAAATGCGATTTTTATCATTTTTAATCCTGTATAGAAACATGAAAAAAAATATTTTCAATGTTCCAAGCATATTTTATTTATCTTGAAATATTCCTCTATCAAGTACTGTTATTTTTTCGAAGGTTTCTAATAGTTAGCTAATGTCATCATTAAAATATAGTTTTCGCGTTGTTGTATAAGATTAAAAATAGAAAATGTGCGTTACTTCATTGAAAATCCTTTACAACTAAATAAATATGAATTGTATAGAAAATTACGAAATAACATTTTCTCTTTAAAATAGCCCAAATTATCTAGTACATTGATTTAAAATAATTATCGACCATCTTCCCCTGGCAAACTACAGTTCCTTTGGTACTATTTGAAGAGAATTTTGGAAAAAAATCCGGTCCTCATTTTTTTCGTACATGAGCGAAGATTTTGCCTTGACTATTATCTCTATAAATACACTGGTATTTGGTCCAAGATGTAAGATTCGTAAGCAATAATCAGCGTGAGTGCGTGTGTCGTGTTACAGTATATTTATGTATATATATATTCACATGAGTGGTCAAGATATATGTGAAGTAGACGAGCTGAGGTGATTGCCGCATTTGCTGTATATAACGCTGCGGAATGGTAGAGAGTGAGTACATTAAGTTCAGTCTTGACGCGACCGTTGCCCGCGACACTACGTCGATCTGTCCGCTAATATATAGTGAATTAACTGGTGTTTGTTTTACTTTGTTTTTCGAGATTTATTTTCTATCGTTGACAAGTGAGTTGATTCACGCTAACAAGTTATCTTGTGTTTTGAAGATTTAATAATAGCAATTTTTATCGCACCGTTCTTACCGTTTTTACTTTGTTTTTTTTTATCAAATATTGCTGTGATTTTCAGTGAATAATGTTTTAACCGTGGCCTTAGCTTTCATCAAGCAAAATGGTTATTGCGTATTATTTAAATCAATTATTTAATAATCATTGTCGCAAATTCAATGAAATTGATCAATTTTGAGTTTTGCGCGATGCATATTGTGGTACAAAAAAGGTCCACATTTTTTCTGTTACATAATTTAGTTTTGATTAAGGAAAAAAACATGATTGTACTTTCATTGATATCGTATCATTCGTTTGTGTCACGATCGGAGAGCGAGTTTGAAAATACTAATCAAAATTTTAAGGTTGAATAACAGTGTCATTTATGTCATCGATTAAGACAACCTAAGTCACTGTGCGATGTTTTTTCCTTCTAGAAATCCGGTTTTATCTATGGATAATTTCGAGAAATTTCGAGAGATTAATAAAATTATTGATTGAAATTAATGGGCTTCATAAAAAATCACAGTTTAAATTTATTTTGCTTATGATTTATTGTACGAGACATTTTTAATCGTGCTAATGAAAAATTTCCATAAATTTCAAATGATATAATGCTCTATTTTGAGTCTGAACGTATATAAATCGAACTTTAAGTTTGCAATGGCACGATCAAGTATTTTCAATTAGTCATCGCATATGTTTTGAATTGGCTTCCTTTTTTATATATAAATATAAATGGCATGATCAATTGTTTACTGATTTTAATGCTTTTCGTAACGGTCTTTTGTATGCTTTTTAAAGTTATCGAGTGCAACCACAACACAATGTCACATGATTTCAAGTGTTATCAATCAAAAATGATCATAGATCTCAAAACTCAGACGCACAATGTTATATCTGCTAAAAAATCATCGTTTATCGACTGTTTTAAAATAACTGCTACTCACGATGACACGTTTTGTTTTAGTTTCTTTCGGTTTATTTATATAATATACTATAACGGTCACACTTGTGTCTTTCTTCTTCTTATCAAATTAGATATACAATATTTTTGGCAATGTTGTCAGGGTGGCAAAGTATTCATTAGCTATTTATTAGATCCTGCCAGTAACCTTGGCCATTTTGTTGAATAAATATAAATCGTATGAACATTAATCTTCAAAAAAATTATTTCGTATATTTCGAAAGTACACTGCTTATGTTGAGTCTATTGATTGTCACTCGTAGACTAAATTATAAGTATAAAATCCATTAGCATCGTGGTTTTAAACGATGACGATGTGTTTTATGTTTAAAGATCACAATAATTATCGTAGAATGACTCATGTAAATAATTTATGTCACAATATGCCAATTAGCTCCGAAAAAATGTAATGACGCGCTGCATGATTGGTGTACACATGTGACTTTGTCAATACGGTTCTACTCGTACAATACAACTTTCCTTACAACGTATTAGTAAATATATAATAATCCACCGTGTTTCTGTAAAATTAGAGTCTATAAAGTGAATAAGTTTTATTGCAGTTGCTAAATAATTAAACTTATAGCATCTTCCCGGGTTTTTGTATTTAGTTAGCTAAGCGTAAAACTTTATTGCCTCTCGGGGAAAACAGTTTAAGAAAAAAAAGTAGTCTGTATACACGTGCGAAAGTGGTCACTAAGAAAGACCTCTCACTTTCACCTTACGTTACAAGAATACAAATAGTTAACACTACGATCCGTGGATTATCACTTTACGGTGAGTGAATGCATGCGTGAGTTTTGCTTGCAAAACTACGGACATTCGCAAGAGAAAGTCCAACTGCAGATATCCTCATTTTTAACCGAAATTTGAACATTAACCCATTAACGCGCAAAAGTGCAATTTTGTGCATGAATTTTGCATTGCAAAAAGATTATAAAGTTAAAATATTTTCTTGAAAATCCATACCCAGGGGTTTTTGGGTATGCTCTTTCGGAATCCGGTGTTATTTTTACGATAAATAAACATTATTATCGTTAATTTTGCAATTAAAAAAAAAAACGTGATTTTTTTACTCAACATTTTTTTTCAAAGTCGATTTTCTACCTTGCCCTGCCTTCGGAGGATTCCCATAACACCAGCAATCGTGCACTTTTTCTCAAAACCTTCAAAAAATGCGCTACCGCGATTTCTATCTAGCCCCTATATTTCTGAAAATGCGAATTTATACCGAGCAGCGATATAAAAATTCCCTCATTTTTTACTCGGAATTTATTGACTTTATAAAAAAAAAAATCATACAATAAAAAGTGTTCAAATTTGTTCAAAGAATAGGAGTTTATTTGCTCATAATTTTTTTGGAACATTTTGGATTTTTTCAGCAGGCCGGGAAATGGTCGGATTTTGCAAAATTTAATGTAGAAAATCGACTTTGAAAAAAAATTTTAAGTAAAAAAATCACGTTTTTTTTTAATTGCAAAATAAACAATGATAATATTTATTTATCGCAAAAGTAACACTGGATTCTGAAAGAGCATACCCGAAAACCTCTGGATATAGATTTTCAAAAAAAATATTTTTACTTTATCTATAATTTTTTTACAATGGAAAATTCATGCACAAAATTGCACTTTTGCGCGTTAATGGTTTAAAACGAGCACCGATTGCGTTGGCAATTTTAAATGTAGATTACAGGGTACATCGTAGCTTGGTCGGGCCATTCGGTTATAATTAGAACATACATATTTTTATGATGATATAATTTCTTACGTATCGATAATAATTGGCAGCCAAGATAATGTTTGTGCATCAGTAATGTACTACGAGTAATTTCAAACTTTCCATTTTATCATCATTCATTAATCATACTAAATTATCATTTACATATACAGAGTATATTTAAGCAGTGCTAATAAACTTTTTTACATTAAAATTTATAAAAAATTAACTATAAAACTTTGCGAATTTTTAAATATCTGAGGAGTTACAAAAAAAAATTATGAGCATAATTTATAACTGCACTTTTTCAATGCAATTTATATAAATATTACATAATTTATCTTAATCAATTGTGAGTAATTACTATGATAATTGTATTAATTCAAATACAATATCTTTTAAAACTTTTACATTATCGTGAGATTTAAAAAAATGTGAATAATAACTTTATTACGTTTATATTCTAACGTCACTTCTTATTGTTTAATATTATGCAAACATATGCTTCGTCAAACAAACAATAGGGTCATTGTCATGCACAGATTCATTATAATTTATCCAAGCTTAAAAGGATAAGTAAAACAATAGATAAAACACGTTCATTTTAAGCGAAAAATCGAAGCAATAAGAAAAGCTGTACTTAAGAGCCATAATCGTATGAATCTGTGTTAATTCATGTTGTCAGTGTATTAAAATGCGCTCGTCTTTATGTTGTAAAAAGGGACACCGACACTGCTCACTTGTGAAGCGATCGATCTGAGAACGAGGTTACATGCCTTATTCTAATGTAGATTCAACAAACTTATATATACCAATTACTTCATTAAATTGATCTCCAACTACAGCTGTGGTTTATTCACCGCATAACATAGAATATATTATGTAAAATATAGAGAGAATATTTTCAAAATCAGAGAAATCATGCGATCAAACATTTTTATAATGAAGATGATGCGATGCAAGCGGATGTGATGCTCGCTCGCATATAATGATTGATGCAATATAATATTTGATTTACAGTAGTTTTGTATGTCGAACGATAAATATGTTTCACAATTCTTCCTCAAAGACAAACTACTCTTTGTGCGCGAATAAATTATTACTACTTGAGCTCATTGTTAACTTTGTATAAAGAAGCTTTGTATAAGTTTGAGCCCAGGAATCATTATTAGTGAAATTTTTGGAAACTTTTATGCTATGCAATACTTCTATTGAAACTCCGAAAACGCAAGCACAGAATGTCATTAAATTTAATCAAACGAGTGCCGATTGCAGAAACAACTATACTTTTCATAGTTGCATAATTTTTTTTCTGTCATTTGTACCAACTAATCACATTTTTTGCCTTTTACAGCATGATAGGCATATCCTGCAGCAGCATAGGTGTCGCCCTGTTTCTGCTCTCGGTGGTAATCTGCACAATCAGTGAAGCCGCCCGGTATCATGCCAAACACACGATATTCGTCTTATCGAGCGCGATATGGGCCACATGTCCGATTCCGCTGATGTTTTTCAGAATGCGCGATTGGAGAAACGCACTGTAAGTATCAAAACCAATCCTTCTTTTTTATTCTCACTGCTCGCGTGCACTTTTTATATTATATACTTGCCTCGTTATCATCTGTTTTTCGCGTTGCAGAATACCAGCCTGGGGTGCGCGTCAAACTGGAAAATTAATCGGAATTAACTACAAAATTCGGGGCAAAGAGAACATCGTCAAAGACTCTGGTGCAGTCGTACTCATTAATCATCAGAGCAATCTCGATCTTTGTGGTAAGTGTATGCTCTTAAATCATATTGTTTTTGTCAACTCAAGATAAGCACTGTGAATCGATGATTCATTAAGGTTGCGTGCTATTTTTACGAAATTTACAAAAATGACTATTTGATTTTTTAGTGCTTGCGGAACTATGGCCCGTAATGGAAAGATGCACAGTTATATCGAAGAAAGAAGTCATGTACTTTGGCACATTTGGACTGGCGAGTTGGCTTTGGGGCACGATTTTCATTGACCGTAACAATAAGAAAGAGGCTCAATCAACAGTTAATTCAACAGCCGAGATCATTAAAAAACGAAAGGTAACAGAATAAATTAAAAATTCTATTTTATTGTTTAATTTTATAATTATTACATTTTTATGCACTTTTATGTTTAGGCAAGAGTACTCATTTATCCAGAAGGGAAAAGATATGGTGGACCAGAACTATTGCCATTTAAAAAAGGTGGATTCCACGTAGCCATCGATTCTCAAATGCCTATCCAACCAGTAGTTGTGTCAAGATACTACTTTATAAATTCAAAATTGAAAAAATTCGATTCTGGTAAGCTCTATTTTCCATGGATTATTTAGTCAAACTTCTATCCAGCATCGAAGCTTAATATATAAAAAATTGAACAAACTCATTTCTTAAACGAGTAATTTAAAGTTTTCAAATCATCTGTTCACGTAAAGAATTGTGTCTTTGCACCTGTTAGGCGCAAGTGACATAAATTTTTAACGAGCCTATAGACGTACCAGTTATATCTTAAGTGGCAATTGTACGAATACGGAATTTTGATTGATTTGTCAAGCTTGATATTAATAGTAATTTGAACTCTTACACGATCGAACAATTTTCATTTCTTTTCAAATATGTAGACTTGTCCTATAAGTTTTTTTATTACCTTCGATGATTCACTAAAACGATGAATTTTTTATAGGTACGAGTTACATCACAATTTTACCCCCAATACCGACGGAAGGTTTGACGAAAGAAGATATACCTAAGTTGATAGATGAAGCTTATGAGAAAATGAACAAAGTTTATCAAGAATCAACACAGGAGGCTTTATCCGTTCACATGGAGGCTTTAAAGATTCAGTAATCTTATACGAAGAATAAGATTTTCTGTGGTACTCTTGGTCGTGTACATGATTCATAAATGCAGTGCGCGTTCATGTGTAAAATTTAAATAGTTTTTCATGTAATTTTATAGATTTGTAGACTAAGATTTTAAGATAATATCATGTAGTTCTAACTCAGTGCTTGTTCAGGATTAGATACTGATTTAACTTTAACATTTTTTCTCATCGTTGTGGCTTTTAAAATAGCTGTTATACTTCGACTATTTGATGTTTCTTGAATTTGACGAAATTAATTTAACGTGCCATTTACGGAAAATTTTTTTTATGACTTTCATCGCATTTTTTAAATAGTATTACATAAAAATGCTTACTATTTCCATGTTCGTGAAATTTGGGATACTGTAAGATAAAGAACTGTCATTAAATTTATAGAAAGTACAAGCACTATTAAGGTAGAGTATATAATGTACCTTTTTAATGTGATATTAGGGTCAGGTATTAATAATCCGCACATTTTTTATAAGTATCAAGGAATATCACAAAGTAAAAACTCACGATCTTATAAAAATAACGAATAGAAAAACTATTAATTATTAAGAGACTGCGTTTTATCATATGTTTTACAGATAATTTAGGGTTTAAAACGTTACAGATATAATTTTTTTAAGCAGTATAAAGTAGAATTTTATAAACTTGTTATATAATATGTAAGTATGCACTTATTGCTCTTTTCATTCCGACAACGTGATTGTTTGATTATTGAAGCCTATAAATACCAAAAAGTGCCATTCCATGCTAAGCAAATAAATTTCATTTTTGCTCAGATGTACTAATGTAAAAATAAAACGATACGTTTTATCATGTTTAAATATTGCTATAATCGATAAACTTGTTTTCATCAAAAAATTTCATTAACGAACAGATAAATGAAAACCTGTGATAATAGATACAGGACTCTGTATCGAATTTTTTGTATTTATCATTTACATATACTTTCAAACGATTTTAATTGTCGAATAAAAAAAGATTGAAAATATTTTCATTTTTCAGCTGAGCCATCAACGTATTTTTCTCTCTTACTTTTTTTATTATCGTTACAATCGAAAACATTAGCGCACAAATGAGATATTTTTCAATCAGAGGGTCAATGTTTAAATTCTGAATTTTAATACTTTTTTTTCCATCTCTGAAAAATTCCTGATAAAGATGATTTTTCGCTATTTTCATATGACAGCGCTTCTGAAGATTTTGTTGACATCTTTGCAGCATGGGGTTTTTTAACCATAGGATAACTTTTTTTGTTACTGTCGGACTCTTCATCGATATACTCGTGCGGGTAACTTTTAGCAGTTGCAGTTAAATATTTTTGTTCAAGTCTTTTTACTGTTGATTGCATATCATCGTCGCTTATTAATTTATAATCAAACGATGAATTTTCATTATCGTTTGACGATTTGGCTTTTGTTGTATTAGAAGAATCCGTTATTAATCTTGTATGTTTTTGTTTCTTTATGTTTTTGTTAAGAGATGACTTTTTGAAATCTTTCTTTGTAGACGTATTCTCGGTATCCAAATTACTAAATTTTTTCGAGATAATAGTTTTACTCATTTTAGGAAATTTATTTTCTATCGGGGCTAAATTATTATTTGCACACATACAATTATTAGAACAACCGCCTTTTTGCCTTTCAAAAATTGACGTGGATTTTTTCTTTTTTTGTTTATTTTTGTAATTCTCTTCTAAATATTGACAATCTCTTTCACATCCATTTTGTTTTGATTTGAATTTTTTATAAAATTTTGAATTTTTCGTCTCAAAATCTCGTCTTTTATTTTGTGGTGCACAATTTTTTAAAGCATTCACTAATTCACAAACGTCAATTACTTGCTCTGTATATCTTCTCGTTTGCACTGAACGATCATTACTCGCCAACTAAAATTCAAGGTGCAAATAAGCATACAAAGAATTTAATACTTTGAAATATAAAATGTCATACTTGTTTATTTTTTTCATCTACGGCATTTTCAATACCGGTTTTCGGTTTTATTGCGCTAGATATTTCCATTTTTTGTTTGTAATGCTTCGGAGAATCATTGATGGCACCGATTTTTTTTCTTTTTATTTTTTTTAAATCATTACTTACTTCAAGTGGATTGACATCATTCTCTTCTTTTGTTGGGTGACTTTTACGAAATAAATTTAACCTTCCAATCAGATTGGATTTTGAATTATTTTTATTTTTAATATTTTGTTCGACAGTTTTGATCGATAAATTTTCACCATAACTATTGTTGGATTTTAATACATCTACTTCATATTGCAATTCATGGACGATTTTTGAAAGAGTGCGAATTTGTTGAACCAAGTTAATTAATCGGTCGTTGTCACGTGTATTTTCTGAATTTATCATGTTTAGCACTTGCCTTCATTTATCGGAATCATAACGAAAGTTTGTCCTTATCAGTGAAATTTTTCTATCCGCTTACTTCATTAAATAGTTGATCGTACAATAGGTAATTTTTCGAATTAAATTTAATAAAATCGAAATAAAGATTGAATAGACCATTTATCAATGAAAAACGTTTACACATCTTTGAAAAATAAGAATTTATTTTGTTCAGCGTCCAACGAATTGATACAAGTAATATCATTTGTACCAAACACCGATTTATTTCATAGTAATGCTGATTTAATGAGTTGTCAATTTTAGGATCATAAAATAATTTTGTTTTCTGAGTCATCGGGTACATTTTTTAGTACATTTTGGCACTACGTTTGGGTATTCGTTTCACATTCGATTCGTAATCATATGATTTCAACCAGTGTATGTACACTGTAAAAGACTTATTCAGTTCAATATAATTGCTTCTGTATCTACAAATTTGGTATTACAATCTGTATTAGTTGAGGTTAAAGTTTATACGTATTTGCTTAAAAATAACATCAAAAATCAAAAATATTATAAACAATTACCAAAAAAATTCAAAATTTGTTATACGAATATATAAATACGCTGATTGGGTTTGTGTAACTGTCGAGAACGATGAATAAATATATTTGGGTATAAACTTACGTTCAAATTTGTCAATATGTTTTATTTAATAATAATTCAAATTTTTGTTAAGTAAGATATAAAAAGTTCAAAGTTTTGAAGTATGATGAATTGGCAGATTGTTTTGGCTCATGCCTCTTTGAACTGGTCGAATTACAGATAAGCCTTATCTATAATACTGTCAGTTTCATCATAGGTTGCGAAAAAAAAAACACAATGACATTCAATCGAATTGATATCATACATTAATGGAATAATAAATTAACTCTACTGCAAGTAAAACCAAAGTACTTTTTCTCAGAGATTAAAGTTTATTTACTATGTAAAATAATAGCATTCATGCAAATAGGGAATGTGGCATCACAAATATACGTAATGATGTCGATAAATTTAATTGAAAAAACATGGATTGAACCCTGTCTCGCTTTAGCCACTCTATTGCTCGCTTTACATCATTCAACGCAAGTGTAACAGTGAAAAAGTATACAGCGTAATTTTTTCAGTACATAAATTATAATATCAATTTAACTACGCAATAAATTACATTAAAAGTTCTATATTTATTTTCGATTAAAGTACAATTAAAAAAATTACATCTAATTGAATAAAATTCTTATTCAAAAGTTTGTTTCATCGACGGAATTGATTGTTGTCTTGGACAGTATAACAGATTTTAGGCATGATCATTAATATTATTTTATACAACTACATTAATACCTATATCGCGATGACATTTTGCTCTATATGCAAAAGACAAAGTGCATCTAAAATAGATACACATACATAATGTAAGTCACTTTCGGTGCAAATGAACAATGTGAAGAGACATTTAAAGTTTCGTTTGTTCTGGAATAAATCATGTGTCATTTGATTTTTGTTTTTTATATAATATATGTGTAATATATATGTACAATTTTTAAAGTTCATTATAGCAGATAATACCGAAATGATTCTGGCTTTATTGCTTTCTTTGTCACAAAAAATATGATTACTTCGTTGTAATGTCTATGCAACAGTGTTGCCCACAGCCTTTGCACAGTCATTACACTATTACGCTCGCTGTACAGAAATGTATTTTCCAGTGAATGAAAAAAATGATTCTCAGTTTAGACGCCCTGGTGCAGGTCTGTCGGGAATTCGCGGGGGAACATTGGGTACCACTCGCCTGAAAATCAACAATTACAAGATAAGTATGTTATTGATTTAAAATAAAGACTATTGTGTTATAAAAAGTTTACTCGCTGAGCTTATTCGACGAGATAAATATGATTTTCCAAAGGCAATATAATTATTGAAATTTTTGAATATCAACTTTATCTCGTCGTGAGCGATACTTTTTGAACAAAACAGAAGCATGAAACAAATGGGCTTAAACATAATAATAGAGTTTTTACAAATAGTGCAGGGTTGGATTATTAATATTCAATTATGATATTAATCAATAATTTTTATTACTAATTAATAAAAATGAGTCAAATCTACTTGAAAATAAAATCGAAGTAAATAATAATAAAACCATTCTTAATTAAGATATCGAACTTTTACTCACTCTCCAACTCTACATCCGATTTATTCATGACATCGGATACGTATGAGCATAATTTAAAATTTCGTAAAATTAACATTTTAACAATATTTTAATTTATTCGAGCAAATTTGAATAAATGAAAAGAAAAGTATAGCCTTCTCTGTGAAAAGGCTTAGATAAATAACAATAATATTGTTAAAAATCAGTCGGATTGAAGAATAAAAAACAAAAGCATAAAGCAGTAAAGAATCATAACAAGTTAAGAAAAATAAATCTAAATTCTCACACGCGGATTATTTAAATGGAAATTTTGGGGATAAATTATCCAGGTAATGAATAATAATTCGGATAACAGGCACACATCGAGCAAAATTCACAAATACTTTTCATTCAACTGAACGATTAAGATCAAAATTGAGTACTCAATGATCAATTGAAAATTGCGTACTAATGCGTACCCGTAGATCCGGTTTTCACTTAGAAGATTTGATTTTTTTGTTGTTAATCTTATTTTCATTTATATATTCTATGATAACATGTTATTTTCTATATACACATTTATATTGCAATAAATAGTGGGTTGTTGCATGTGTTATGAGTGTTATTTTTTTCATATGTATGTACCTTTCTTGCGCGCATAAATAACACAGTTCAATCGTTTATAAATCGCATTTTCAATGTGGGTGAAAGTCGCTGTTGCAATTCGCTTGTACAGATACATATTATCTGGTATTATGTAGTCTTTATTTATTTGATTTAGTTGTTTTAGATTTCTGAAAATGTTTTATTCTCAGCACTTTTATAAAGTAACGTCTGTGGCATGAGATTCATAATTAAATATTACTCAGCAGTGTTTACCACTGTATTCGATCATACAAGAGCTTATTATTGATAAATCATGACAACTCATTATTGAAATTTTAATTGATTGATGTGGATACGAAAAAATATTTGAACTCGACAAAGATGAATTTATGCTTGTTTGAGAAAAATAGGTAGAAGAGATAAACGAACTCATCTTCTTTAGATATATTAAATCCGTAGGGTATATGTTCAGGTTTTTATAATTCTTAATGATTTGCATCGAAAAAATCTTTCTTCTATCATACGTAGTGATATTCGATTTTTCAAAAAAAAAGTTTTCTAATACTTTTCCTCAAGTTGATTGATTAATTGATATTAATTTCTCTTGAGCTTATTTTACTTTATAGAATCATCACAAACATTCGAATTTCGTCTGGTTCGATCGTTAATTACACTTATATAAGTCAACGTGTATTGTACAATAAATTTATAAGCATTGCAATTGCAACTATAATTATAGGATCCTTTTTCAATAAGGCTGTTTTTTTCTTATAGATGGAAGAATTTTTCAACGTGTTTTCAACATGATCGAGCTTTTATAATCTTTTCTTATCACTTGTAGAATATCTCATCTCTTTTAACGAGCTATGCAGACTTTTTTAGAAGTTTAAAATTTTCCTTTTTAGTATTTTTGTTTGTACCACACTAATCTCTTAGTATGCGTGAATTTGGTTAACTTGTTTTGTATTTTAAAATGTATGCTTCGTGATTTTGCAAGTGCTGAACAGGCTTACTATAACACGGTGCATTAATTTTTTTGTCGTTGACAAAACGGTATATGATTTTTTCACATATTATATTAATCAAATCTGGATACAAAATTGCCTCGTTAATCGTAATCTTATGCAAAATTTGGAGCCAATTGGAAGAAAACATTTTGAATGGAAGTTTATAGAAACGAAAGTTTTGCAGTATATTTTTCTCCACAAACTTGGCAATTATTATAATCTGGAACAATATTCATCAGTATAATTTTTTTTCGATTAACAGTGCGTTTATGATCTAAAATCTATACTATTGTAATTACTCTTTATTATAATCTGTTTTATGCCGCCATCGATGCAATTAAGCCCTATTTATGCTATATATCACATCCTATTTCTGAGAACATATTTTTGTCAACTTCAATATTATTTATTTTTTATAATAGCTACGTATTTATGCATATTCAACAACTTCATTATAAGTTTAAAATTTGAAAACGATAAGACGAAAAATGTATCAAATTTTAAGTTGCCTTTACTTTTAATTCACTATTTTCTCAAAAAATTATGGAATTTGCTTCAATTACTCATTGAAACATTACTTCATGAAAACGATAAAAATTTTGGACAAAAATTATCGTCCTAACTATTTAGTTAAGTAGGTTCCTTCATTATAATTTGTGACATTTTACACATTTTAACGCGTTCGTAAAATTCACGGTATTTTTTTAAATATTTTATATATATATATATATTTTTTTTTTAATAGGCGTTGTATGTAATGCGAATGATGTGCAGCATGTGTCGATATATATATCAAAGATGAGATTTTTCGTCCTTAATGTTATGCTCGATAAGCCAGTATCTTATATTGATCTCTAGTCACTGCTTATGTTTTAGTTTTTGAGAAAATCTTTACTTCGTAGGCAAATGTTTTAAGTTATAATGAATGCATAAGTATGATCCTTTACAGAAAACGCAACATTCACAAAAAAGAAATAGGTCACACGTTGAGTAAAATAGGATTTTAAAAACAGCATGACATTTCGTTGATTTTACTATAATATATTTCACATTATTTTGTTGATTTCTGTTGTATCAAATGCACAACTTTTTGATATTATTCGTTAATGCACTTTAAATTGCACGAAGAAAAATTGGTCTGGTAAAATATAATTAAAAATTCATGACAAAAGAAATTGTCTCTAATATCCAATAAAATTTTTTCATATTGACAATAAGCAATGGAATTAAAACAATATATCGAGGTACTATTGAAAATATTATAAATTACTCTTTGTTTTAGAAAAATGCTCAAATTTAACAAACACTTAAAGGGAAACAGAAATTGCATAAAACCTATACTTTTCACCATGCAAGATCTTTCATTAACATGTTACGATGAAAATAACAAAATTTTTTCATTTTGCTAAAAGTATTAAAATAATTATTTTGAAGCCAATTTCAAACAGCAAATATTACTTCAATATTTTTCTTCGTATCACTTTTATGCGATTTTAAGCAAAATCATATTGTTTCGTTACTGTTTTTGATATAGCACAGAATCGAGTACGCGTGTAGTGTAGGGCAAAAGAAAAATTATCATAGACATTTAAAATTTGTTCTTTAGTAAAAGCAAAAAATGTCGACTTATAGTGTTTTTAAATTTTATATATGTGGAAATCGGCCCGCGACATTATTGTAATTATTTTTTTCATACTTCATTATTTTGTTCATTTCAATGTATAAATAGATACAATACATTATTTTGCAACTAGTAGGCGATCTTGTACACATACACATCAGCCTTAACAATGAAACGATGAAACCACACACATTTCTCATAACTTAACCACCACCATTTATCTTTATAATTATATATCATATATTATAATATACTCTTTAAACGTTTGAATAGTTTGTACGCATGTTTCGTACGAATAGAACCATGATGCAATCAATGCTTCATGAATTTATAAATTCATTAAATATAATATGTGCTTTTATGACCCACCACCTTAGTTTACTCCAGAACATTGATATTATTCATTTCCTATCTCGATTCAAACATTTTTTCGAAAAGTTTTTTCTTCTGATAAAAGGTCATTATTTTCATTACACAAGTATGGCTTAGTTATAATCTTCTCAAGTTAAAATGGACAATTCATAAAATTATAAAATTAAAGCAATATATGATTTATATTTTGAAACAAAAGTTCAAATTATATTTCAAAAATCAAATAAAAAGCTGATATGTTCGAGTTTTTCTTAATACCGAAAAAGATCTAATAATTAATTTTTGATAACTTCGATAAATGAAGATTATCCATTCTTTGCAAATTCTTATTTTTGAATAAATCTATAATTGACTTTTTAGTTATTTTAAATCAAGAATGAAACTTAATTACAAAAATAGTTGTAATAACGTGTTACTTTTCGTAATAGTAAATTAATTGTTGTAAAGAAGTAGCTTTATATTTACGATACCGTATATAATACAGTTTTTGGAATGTTGTATTTGTTAAATACTTTGCATGTTTGATTCAAAATTTACCAATTCATATAGCTTAGGTGTTAGTTGAAAAACTTAAAAGTATTATTTGTTACAGAATCACAAAATAAAAAAGAAACGTCTTGCGGGAATAGAAGTTCCTGAGGAAATAAACCAAGTGAGAAAATGCGATAAAATACTGTTAATCGTACATTTAAATGCATAAAAGCAATTTTAATTATCGGGACTTCTTTGCTTTTTTCAAAAATATTAAGGAGCAATATTTTACCCTTGACAACTTTGTTAATTGTCCGTTTTTCCATTTCAACGCTTATCCTTCATATAGCATAAATACAACGCAATGTAAGAAAATAGTGTACAAGAAGTATACCAAATGAGATAAGAAAAATAAAATTAAATAGTTATAATATAAATAAAGAATGTAAGAGTAATAATTTACAATTTCATCTTGAAAGCATCCATTAGCTCATTGGCAGCGGCATTAACAGCAGCCTGTGTCGCTGCCTGTGTCATCCGTTGCTGAAGACCAGCTCCGATGCCGCCACCACCTCCGCGACTAAACACATACGGACACACGTATGACGAGATTTATTATAAAAGTAACAATTTGAAATATTATTTCTTTCTCTTTGATACTTTTTTCCATACATTACGATTTATGAAAATCGCAAAAGTTAAATACGTAGAATTAAGTTTTATAAGAATATTTAAATAAGGAATCACAGTACTGATTTCTTGAATGTCAATGATAGTAATGAATTGCAAAAATATTCATAAATCATCTATATTGTTTTAAAAATGATCTATAGTTTTACATCACTCGCCCTTACACTAACACATACTAAATTGAAAAATAAATATAAATTGGTATCAAGTTTTCTAATAAATAGACAACTTAATCATCATTGATAGAAAATCTTTTCATTACTTTTCGTAAAATATAAATAAAATATTGTCTTCAAGATTTCAGTCCTGTGTTCTTTTTTAAGAATTTTCATTAAATAAAAAGTCTAGTTTTTTAATGTAGGTATCGCCTTCATTTCTTAAATAAATGTAATAAATTTTGATTACATCAAGATAATCTCGTCAAAAATATCTTTGATAAAATCAAATTATTTCAATTATTTCAAATTCTATTTAAAATCAAGCATGAAACAACCTGATGGTAGTTTCATTTTTAATAATAGATTACCGATACTACCGGATCATTTAGATATTTCTTTTTTTAATTATTCAAAATTATGCAGGCACCGACACGTCTTCATCACGCAGCTTTTTTTAAAACGATCACTCTATATTCATTTCATACCTTTATAATGAATGATTTGACATGAAGAACACAAATGAAATAGCAAGTAAAACAAATACTTCCATCAAAGTTAAAATACAATATTCGATGTTCGATTGTACTATATTCTTGATATATACATATACATTCAAGTTTTTTAGACTCAGTCGGACGATCAAAAAATTACCGTCTTATCAACACCGCAACCTTCATCCGCAAACTCGCAATTTCAGTTAACTCTATTAAATTTTTTTAAGAAAAAATTGCTGAGATATTTTATTTTTTTATAATTCAATGAAATGTCATGCTGTTAAGAAGCGTTAGATGTTGCATCGTGTGATATACAAGCTCAAAAAGATTTCTCAACTAAGTTCTTATTTTTTATAATTATATACATGGCTATCATATACAACGTGTGAGTTATATAATGATAATTATTTCTCTCATATGTAAAATATGAGTGAATTTACGAGATAATGATACTTTTTGCCGAAATTTTTTTCCTCGAAACATTCAAGCACTTTAAATCGGAAAGTGCAAATTTTTCATAGAGTTTCTCAAATTTTGCCATCAGATGAAGAAAATTCCACAAAAATGAAATAATAATTGCGTGGATAGGGGTGTGCGGTTCTCTAACAGATAAAAGACAATCGAGATAAGATTATTATTACAGATTTCAGGCTACTTGCTGTACGCACAAGAACTTTATTTTCGCAGAGCTCTCAATTTCTCAAGACACTTTGTACTTGTTTCTTTTTTTTTGTTTTAAAAAAAGAAATTGAAGCTCCACAAATTGTTTTTATTTTCTAACGTGATGCTAGCTAACAGACAAAACACGCGAGTATATAGAATTTATGATTATTTGATAACTCTTAAAAAATACAATTACTTGGACCTCTCAAACAAGCAGGTGCATAATCGTTATTTTGAATAAATATATACGTATATCATATGCATTGAGATGTGAAGAAATGCAAACGTGTTGAATGATTTATCATGAATAACATCATCAATTATTCGAACATACATTTCATTATGCTCTCGTAAAGTTAGCGGAAAATCGCGCGATATGTGTATATTGAATGCGTATTATACCATTCGTTGCTGAATTGTAGCGCACACCCCGAATCGACAATGACACCGAAATATTGTGATTTTTTTCATTACACTTAAGTATTTGCAGCCAAAAATAAACCACTTATGTGGCCGAAATGTTCTTTTGTTTTTTTAAATGCGATTATTTTTGGTTTTATTTTTATCAGTTAGATGCAACGAATATTATATGGATTAGTAGCAATTAGGTGTATTAGTGCGTAGACTTATTGTCGGCGCCTGCAATAAAAAGTATAGTTAGCACCAAAAAACTTGTAAGTTGTATTTTAATAAATTCAAAGACAATGTAAAAATCTACGGACTATAAATGTTCTTATACTTCATCGAAAATATTTAATTGATTTCTGAGAAAAATTATAAGTGAATTATTGTGCTTAATGATACTTTTTGAATCTGCTTATCAAAAAAAACATTAAAGACTGTAAACACGCTCAAAAAACGTTATGTGACATATTGCCATTAATTTCTTAAAATAAATCAAGAACTATAATTGATTCATCATTCAATTGACTATTCTTTTAAAATTTTTGTTATTGAACATTATAACGATTTTAAGAATATAATGGCCTAATGTTAAGTGATTTTCACCACCATAAAAAATTTGACTTTATCAATTGACGACAAAGAAATTTAAGTCATAATAATACAAAGGTGAACTTACGAAGGTATAAGAGGAGGTGGTAGTCCTCCACCCGGGGCACCACGCCCGGGCGGCGGTGCACCAGGTCCAGGTCTGTTAGGAATCGCCGGTGCGGGTCTACCACCACCTGCTGGCACTGGTGGTGGAGCTCGCGAGCTAGCTGGTGGTGGTGCCTGATTTCTTGGACGACTACCTGGGCCACCCGGTGATGGTGGTGATAGCCTACTCAATAAAATTTTAATTAACTAAGATTTTTTTTGGAACTCAAGTAATGTATGTATTACATTTTTTAATCAATTAATTAAACGGTGCATCCGTTTGCATGCAAAATTAAATAATGTGATAATCGAAATAAGCAGGTGCTTTCTAAAATTCAAATAATAATCTTACCCAAGGCTGAAGATTCAAATTGTTTCAGAGAAAAGCAGAGTAGAAAAGTTGCATAAAAATGAAAAAATTAGTGAAAGGACTGAAAAAATGGTTAAAGAAGTAAAGGGTGGATTTTTTTACCTTGGATTTTCGCTGGTTGCTAACCAATCGTTTTTAACGGGTGGCGGTACAGGTGTTGTAACAGTAGCCATTGAAACATCACCAATAATTCTAAGAGCCTCTTTGCAAGCATGGTACATGCGAAGCATCTCTTCGCGTTTTTGAGCTTCTTCCGGAGATTCTTCCATCATAGAAGACTGCAAATGTTGATTATGAAAAAATAAATTTAATAAATTATAAAAATTTTTTGTAGCATTGAAGATTCAATAAAACATACTTGATCTCCACTGGCATACAAATGAGCTAAGAGTTCACCATTGATGAAGTCTTTGGCATTGTTTATAATGAGATGCATAATAGTTTTTGGAACTAAATCTCGAGTGGTCTTTGTAACGATCTTCATGTAAGAGTCAACCAAGTTTCTGATGGTCTCTACTTGCCTTTCCAGTTGTGGATCCATGGAAGATTGTGGTTCACTTCCACCCTAAGAAATAACGAATATTAAACTTTCGGAGATTAATATTTTTTTATCAAAAAAGTCAACTAATCTAAAAAAGAACAATAATCTTAAAATATGTTGAATTTATATTTAATTATCAGTGAAAATATAATTCTAAATTTTTTATTAATTTAATTATTTTATTTCTAAGGAAATATTTGCTTTTGCGATAATTTAAATAAACTCAATCTTACTCAATTTTAAATTAGTTGACCTTGATATAATTAATTCGAAAACATCAATGCAATGATGAATGATCTATTCATAAATCACTTCACAAAGGCGGACTACATAAAAATTGTCACTAAATTAGCTGAAAATTTATACGAAAAGTAGCTACAAATCTGAAAATTGTTTTTTATTGTATAATTATACATATAAATATATTATCGTGTTGATGAACGATGAACTGTGCTAAATGCATGTGCAGTTAATACTTTATGGTATTATTGTCTGTCAATTGTAAGGTGTGGAATATAAAAATGGCTTGAAAAATATTTCAAAAGCTACCGATCTGTACGAACCTCATATCCCTCCTTTAGATGATACAAGTTAAAAAAATAAAGACGAATATTGTATTAATAAAATGGTAAAGTCTTCTACACACGGTGTTAAAATCATAAACCATCAAATTGTTTCAGGTATAAAAACAAGGTGGAATTTAAAGAATGTACGAGATTTGAAATAAAAATAATTTTTCTCAATTAGTTTAGTAAATTAAACCAAAGCTTGATTATTCATCAAACAAAATTAAATAAAATCATTTTTAGTTACTTTGATATTCCGCATCAGATCCTATAATATGTAAATAAGAAAATAATATTATCACTGCATGATAATTCATCGTTTTTAGCATCAGTACAATAATTAATCATTACACTTTCTTAATAAAAATTTTAAATGTTATTAAAATTATTACGTTTAAAAATTTTATTCCGGTATGTTTACTTGCTGAAAAATAATTGAAACAGACAAAAATGAAATAAACTTACTTCTCCATCACCGTTAGCTTGTTCTGTAGATTTTTCAGGGTATACTCCAGCACGCAAGAAGGAAGCCTTCCATGAGTCGACATCATCCTGTGTTTCGCAGCTCAACTCGAGTTGTTTGTAATCTTTGTATACGTTTCTACCCTCGGGATTGAAGAGCGCAAAAAGGTGACGACGTGACATGAATCCCTGCTCGAGATCACGCAATTTCAAACCATCCAATGGTAACATGTACTTTTTTTCTCGCTCCTGTAAAAAAAAAGGAAAAAAATAGGAAAGTAAAGTTTATCTTATTTCAAATGCAAAATTGAAGCACAATTAACTTAAAGTTATCAAATGTACCTCTTCATCCTTGAACCATGAAATGCTTTCGGAGGTCAAAACGAACCAGTAATCCTTTGAGCCTCCTTTCATAATACCGAGATTATGTATGCACATGTAACCTTTGCGAATGACCTGATTACCAAGAGTGTGTCTGCCGGCCTTTACGGCGTTCTCCGAAGATTGTTGAGCACTGCAACAGAAAGAACGTTACCAACCATGAAAATTCACTGCTTCTCTATGATAAGAAAAATAGAAGTATGTTATAACGGATGCTTTGTTTTTTTATTTTGAGAAAATAAATTAATAAGAAAATATAAGTTCGATCAAATGCGACTGCTGCGATCTTTCAAATACACAATTATAAATGTAAGCTCAAAAATAGCAATCATATATAATAATAATTGAAAAACTTGGATAAAAATGAACACACGCACGCGTTCGTAGTTCATTATTCTAATGAGATATATACTATTTTTTTTTATTTATATATGTTTGCATTTAGCGATAGTAGGAGTAGATTATAGCCAGATACATAATGGGGCTGTATACGAATCTATGAAAGGCCAATCATGTATCGGACCATCATAACGAATTGCTACATGCCATAAAGCTGCATTAAAGCTTTATCAGACCACACTCGAAAGATCATGTAGAGTTTTTCGAGTTACAGAATTGTATTTTGTAACTCTCAGTTTAATCTTTTCGTATATTTTAATCATTCATTGAACCCATTAGATTTATGGATATTTTTATCAATGATTTTTTTAGTGCCGTATGACATAGCAATGCAGTAGTAATAATTTTATTATTGCAAGCTCAACAAATTAATTTTTTTTCATGGTTAACTTTATTTATCTTGATATGATTTTATGGACTTTTTATATAATCATTAATATTTCAAGAACGAAAATAAAATATTTGACTAAAAAGCAGTTATGTGTGTATTGTGTTAGAGAAAGGTTTTTACTTCTCTAAGTTGTAAATTATATTCAAATACGTACGTGCTTGATTATCATATATAAATATCGAAAGCAGAAATTTCACATTTTTATACTTAATTGGCAAATAGCATATTGTACTTGTTTGAAATAAATATAGTGCTTTCGATATTCCGAGTGTAGGATTTGGGAGAAAAAAGGTAAGTAAATCACTCAAATGAAAAAATGTAATGTACACCTAAGCTGCACAAAATGTAATATAATATAATAAACACGCATAATACGAAAATTTGTAAACTCAGGATAAATGAAAATGAATCAAAATATATATAGGATAAAAAAACAGTATGTGATATTAAATAAAAATAATGGTCTAAAAATAACGAGATCTGAAATACCTAACCACTATAAATGTAAGACCCAAATTTACTAGGTATAAATCAAACAAATGTTCAACAACTCATAAGGAAACTCATCATACATCTTATAAAAACATATCATTGGTAAATATTTTTTCAATCTCAAAATTGATAATAATTAAAGAATAATTATTTGAAAAAATGAAAGTAAATGAACTAGAATTGGAATAATCAGCCAATTATTTTAATTGAAGGAATATATATACATAAGTGTTTTTGAGTATGATGAGAGGTGAAGTCATATGTATGCAAAAACCAAACAAAGGTTCAAAATTAAAAATATATTGCAATGAAAAACTTTCCGACTTTTGATGCACGTTTAATCGGCTCTCTTACCTTGCATTATGGCTACTGGCTGCCGCGCTGCCGGTGTAATTAAATCATTGTTTTTATTTGTGAAGTACAACATGGGCAATGAAAATAGAAAGATTGACATGATAAAGTGAGACAATGATCAGTGAAAAAGACACGATGATTTATGTATATTTTATAATCAAAGTCCCGATTGATTAAGCATGAATATCATCATATGCTGCTTAAAATATTTTTCAGAAAAAGAAGAGTTTTTATTGTTTCTCAACAATTTTGAATTTATCTCGTGTTCTTTTTCTGGACTGAGGATGTTTTAATATTTCATTATACATATAATATTGCTTAACTTCAATGCATGGGCTTATTACCTTTGTATTTACATTTTCTAATTCATAATAATATTTTTTTAAATATTTAAATATCATAAAAGAACTTGAAAAAAATACGCATCGTATTTTTATTATATTATAAACAAAACATGACTTTAACAATATCTCTTCAAGTTCATATATAGTTTATATTAGAGAATTCTTAGCAAATCATTTCTAAGAGAAAAAATAGCAAAGTAAAATTCTACATAAAAATGGGATAGGGAAAGGGAAACTTATTTAAAAAATAAACGAAATAATTATTACTAATAAAAAAGGTAAATTAATGCTGGAAGAAATGTGCAATCTATTTATGCTATAATAAAAAAGTTTCGAGAGCAAATGTGAGGTCAGAGATGTCTACAGTGGCCTTAGCAAGGCATGCATCATATAGCCGAAGGAAAAGTTTGTGCGAGGATTTTGTGTAGTGCTGCACAAATTTAATTTTTTTTTGTGAAACAATTGCCACTAAGCAAAGATGCAAGTCCAATGTGCGCAAATTATCAATAATAAGTTCTAATTTTTTCATCGATTTTTTTCTCTTGTCATCCTATGAAATATATCCTATAATATAGAATATATGAATATATATATAAATATATATTCTATATATCTGAACAATCATGCTATGAAGCATTTAAAAAAAAAATAATTGAGCTTGTAATTTTTAAAAATTCAAGAAAATAAGTTTCGCTGAACTATTTGAGTTGTTTGTAAAACTTAAAATTATAAACTTCGCCGTAATTATTTCAGTGAAAATTATCTTGTAAATTCGATTTAAATAATAAAATAAATAAAATGGGATTTCTCATTTGAGCAAATTAATATGGATGTAAAAAATATACTCTTACGAATAAATTATTATATCGACGTTCTTTACGAGTAGTAGCACTTTTCCATTTAAATTAACTTATAAATGTGCTACTCTTTGTAAAGAGCGTCGATATGTGCATTACTACTGGTTAAGAATTTAGTATAAATACAATATGATCGAGTAATCAACGTCAAAATATTTTCATATTTAATTTGATAATAATAGACTAAAGTTGACTTACTTTGCAAAACCAATAAAATCTTCGTGATTAGTGTTCATATATGCTAGTTCACAATCTACCAGCAGTATAAGTTGTTCTTTACACATTTGCTCTCGTTGTCTTACATGGGTGGTGATGATACGTTCCGTTTCTTCTCGAAGTCTGGGATATCTTGACATCTGAATAGAAATTAATTGTTAAGGGAATGCGTTAGCATGAAAAAAAAACAAATAGTTCAAAACTCACGCGGTCAGTACAAATACGAACAACGTTGCTGAGTTCTTGTACGACTAGATCGACACATTTGAGACTAGGCTCTTTTAGCCTATTAATTTGTTTCTTGACGATAGCCTCAAAAGCCATATCGGGAGTGAAAAGACCAACACGTATACCTGTAATGCACAATTACGTGTCATTGTCAAAAGTTAAAATTATAGTTTGAGTTCAGTTATTTACGAACCATGAATATTTCTGATAGCAAAAGCAATTTCTCTTCGCAATTCCTTCTCATCAAATTCCATTTTGACTATTTCAAATGGAAAACGTTCGTGGAATAGTCGGTTGATTTTTGCACCACCACTTAGCTCCATAGTGTTGATTTGAGCTGAACCGGAACCTTCAATAGTTCTCTCAAAGTCTGATTGAAGTTGCTGAATCATTCTTAAAAATGACTTACTTTTAGTCGAGTAAAGAGAGTATCGTATAATTATTGTTAATGTTAAGGGTAGAGAGCCATGATGAACAATAATGATTTTCACTAAGTATATTTTGAAATGTATTAGATTAATAATTATATCCTTATTCTGGATTCACCATTGGTTGCGTGTTCAATTGGCTATATTTTAATTAATGTTAAATTTTGCAAATCATGGCTAATAAAATCGAAGTGTGTATTTTCATTGTTTCAAGCGTTTGACTAATTAAGTATCTATAGCGCTTCTAGGCATGCGTGTTTTACTCGTAAAAGTAATGCAATCAAATATAATTAATAAAATAATTCATGCTATTGAGCACACAACTGGTTAGAGGGCACCCACAATAAGGAAAATAAGAATACCTACAAAAACATTTGTATTGATTTGTAATATAATCTGTAAAATAAAAAATGATGTAACTTTCAGGACCCTCCACCCACAAAATAATTAATATCATGAGAAAAAGAAAGATAGAAAAATAAATGAATGCTACAGGTGCACTGGTTGCGTGATATTAACGTTATTGCAATATCGAGTAGATTTTTCTGATAAATAACTTACTGAAGCATGGCTTTGGTTTTGATAGCCGGATCATCCGGCCTGAAGTGTTTGTACTGCTCGACATCCTTTTCAAGGGCTAAAAGTTGCTTTTGCAGTCTATCTCGCAATGCCGGTAGCGTATCCCTAATGTGGTTCGTCAGCTGCTGATTAAGAACGCGCTGAAGGTATGGAGTACCCAATTTATCCGCCAAGTGCCGATAGGATGGATGACTGTGGAATTATAATTTCATGAAAATTTATTCTATCTGAATAACAGTAATATTTGTTAAAAAGTGCAATTTACCTCAAAAAGAATTTGCGCTCTGCTGCCAGAGCTGCTCTTATGTCTTTGCGACCTTCGATATCTTTCTGACTTCTGTTTACTACTCCTATGTAGCCTCTTCGCAGGGGCAACAATTTGTTTTCTAAGATATCTCGAGCATCTGTACCGTCATCCATAAGATCCAGCTTAGTAATGACACCAATGGTACGCACACCTAAAAATCCAAGAAATTAAATCATTACCAATCTAGCTTTTGCTTGGTGCATCTAATCGAAATCAAAGAACATACCTTGGGGATCGACCTCCTTGGCAAGTTTAAGAGCATCGCTATTTGCTAAATCAGTATTCGCAGGTGTGACAGCTAAGATGAGACAGTTTTCACGCTTGATGAATTGAAAGATCATTCCTTTGATTTGAGCCTCAATATCGGCTGGTTGGTCGCCGATTGGCACCTTTGTCAATCCAGGTAAATCAATTAGAGTCAAGTTCAACACTGCAATTAAATTAAGAAACATAAAGTCATTAATATCTCAGATGATTTAAAATAAAGGTGTTATTAGTAACTATTGATTGAAAAATTTGACTATTCAGTTAATAAAAATGCTACTTAAAAGTATTAAACAATACCTATAATTTTAAAGAAAACAAATTTTGTTTTCAAGTTATTTCAGTTTGAATGCCGGAATATTTTATAAATAAAAACGTATATTCTTCAAGTTAAAATTGGCTTTGCAGTCATTTACAAAAATTGACTTTGTATTGAAAAGAGCGAATAAGGTTTAATCAATAGTTCGCGATGACCCAAAACGTTGCTTTTTACAGGACCATAATACTCATTTTAGTTATTGTCCAATGAAATGTACTTGTTCACACTCAAAGTCGTGGTGAAATATCTTACCATTGGGTGAGTAAACTCTTAAATTGATAGGCAAATTGGAAATGCCTTTGTTGCTTCCAGTAACTCGATCCGTCTCTGCCTCGATTTCTTTCCGAACTTCATCGAAATCCACGAATTTTTTTCCTTTGCAGTGAAGAAATTCGGCCCATTCTGGAAAACAAACATAAGTAGGATTGGTTTCAACGCTGCATGAAATTAGTGAATGGATTATTTTCTCTCTTTTACGATTAATCCGCCACGAGCGACGATGGCAATGAACTCGATTTCCTACTTATCGTTTTTACCCGCGTGTGTGTTTGTGTGACTATGTTACCCATGCCTCGCTCGTTTGCGCAGGAAGCAGCTCGATAACGCGAAACGGACATCCACCACGCGTACACTAGTCAGGAGAAAAGCATAAATGTAATGCTTGCTCTACAGCCTCCGACGAAGATCATATTTTTTCAGTCGATTTTTTATTTTCATTTTTTATTGTAGAAAAATGTCACGTTAACAGACTACTCGTCAAGAAAACGATGCTTTATCGGGCGAATATTTATGCTGACGCATGAGAGAGGCAGATTTTCCATGTAAAGCTTGGAAAGTTTTTTCACGCTCGAGCACTGATAAACGCGCAGGACAATACTTTCTTGTTATGTCACGGATGACTTTTACTTTAATATTAAAAAATTGTAACACATTTGTGTGGCATACAAAATATAATCATACTAGCTAGTTTCAAGAATTAAATCATTTCTACTGTAAACGCATTATTTGCCTCATTGATAACTCTTTGGTAACGTCTTAACAAGAACATTATGAGAAATAAATATCGATTAAATATTCACGGATATCATTTATTTGGGTTTTATTGAATTTCACTATAGTTACAAACGAAGCTGAATTATATTGTGTACGTGATACGAATAAATAAAGAAATGTGTTCGAGACATTTTCAGTTAATGTGGTCGTTGCGTGAAAATTGAATAATGCATACAAATAAATCGTTATTTAAAGGCATTTCCTTTTTTGTTTTTTGTTTGAATCACGCGTTGAAAATAAAAAATATTTGGTAGGGCTATGAGCTTTATTTACCATTGTCGAATAGTAACTTTTTCAAGAGCTACATTAGAATGAATCGATAAGAGGAGCTACATGTGTTCATTGTGCACATAAACAGTATATTTTCATGTATAAGTTACTATTACAAGATTTAATAAGCAATTTTACGATGCACTTGTTTAGCGATTGTTTCTCTTAATAGTTGCGATATAAATAATAGCCGCTCGCAATCGAAAGGAAATGTATACTTGCAACAGATAAAGCTATATCAACCGAGCTTACATTTGTAATAGAATGTATCGCTGCGTAAATTAACAACACTGCATCGTGTATCGTGATCGATTTAAACTTCATACTTTGCACATGTGCTAAATAAGATGTAAAAAAATTGAAAATGTATTCAAATTTGGGCACAAAACATAAATAGTTCTGAAACAGTCATAGGCATGTAAAATAATGCTAGGTACAAAAAAAGCTATAGATATTGGGACCTGTTTCTTTAAACGAATCGAAGAATCGAGCATATCGAGCATAATATGGAAAGTCATAGTTCGTAAATACGCGCTAGTCTTTTTATCTCGTTCAGTGGAGATTCTCAAGGTCTCTCAAGCTCTAGTTTGTGTATATTTGCTACAGTAAAGCACGCCTCTGACACAAATGCAGTCTAAATCCTCAACACACGATCAATATGGGTTTAACTTTCAACCTCTCGTCCGAGCGTCCATTCCCTCTGCACGGTTGTTCTCATCTCAAGTGTCATCTGTGTCATTTCATAAATTCTAACATCGACAAATATATAGTTGAGATAGGTCGGATGTAGAAGCCACCCCATATCAAATTTCGATATTCCGATATGGAGAAGCGTTTATTTTCGAGACTTGGCCCCGTCTATACGACGCGCGTATATATGTGCACACGTGATAAAAGTGTACATATATATCACGTGCAGCGCAAAGGCGCCTGCAACAAGGGGGTAGCTGCGCGGACATTATTGACCCGCGCACACTGAGACACATACACGTACGTAATCGTAATACATATTTAAAGTCAAACGTGAGACAAGCACAATACAACGTGAGTGCTCGATTATTTTGTGTGTATTAACATCTATTACAACGCGTAAAAACCTTTGCTTGCGTTTTGATTGTCAAATTATTATGCTTTGGCCAACTTATCATATTATATTTTGATTTAATTTGACGATTGGGCGACCGAGACAGAGATTTATATATGAGGGAGAAAAAAAGAAATGACTATACGATTAAAAGAAGCAAGGGCGCTGCTGCTGGTGCGCGGGAGAGTCGCTATCACCGCTCAAGAGAATTGCTCTTGACCTAGATGGAACAGAGACAGACGAAGCATACGCCCGCACGCGTGCGCGGGGATGAAAAGAGAGCACGTCGCGCACTGAGCACGCGCGAATTTTACTTGCGAGCTTTTTTCTCATCATTGTAGCGTTGGTGATCGCGAGTGACACGCGACTCTCCGCGGTCAATTGTTTTTCTTCTTCTATTTTTTCAAAGATCGCGAGAAAAATGAGAGCGAACGATAGTTTTTTCTTTAATCGATTCGAAGACGTTCCCGAGGAATTTTTTATAGACTATATTGGCTACAGAGTACATCGAGAGCTACATTGAATGTCCGCGAGAAATTGTTCAATCAGTCGATGAAAAGCGTAATAGTAATGGAATTTGCTCGTTTGTTGCAACAGTTTTTCAATCACTACCTTATGAGAGCGTGCACTACATTATTGAATTTCGTACTTTATAGCTTTTGAGCTTGCGAGATTTTTTCATGAATGAATAATTATTGCACTCGAATAAAACTCAGAGCTGGTGATATGTAGCTTTCATCAATTTTAAACATGTTACCGTTTCGATTCAATACAATCTCGTGATTTCAAAATCTGCAAGGTATATAAGATAATCATCCGGACTGAAAATGTTCAAATTCATTTTATATTCGGATTCGTACTGAGGTCGAGTTTGCATTGTTAAAACATTTACAAAGCTCCACTCTCCATATAAAAAAAGAGATATTTTCAATTAGCTATGCTCCACATTCGTTTGAGTAGATAAAATTCTACTTCATTACTATAATGCACGTTCAAGCTCATGTTTCTCTTTCCATATTCATAAAAAAGCTCACTCGTTCTCGAGTACTATTCTGCATCACGGCTCATAATTACAACCGTGCATTATGACGTAACTCGAGTTAAAAGAAACTTGCGCTCCTTTTTCTGACCACGTATACTTGATAATTTCACTTAATGGCTCTATTCGTGACGATACAGCTCACATACATACACCATCGCTTACAGCAAAATTGGGCAAATTCAAACTTTTCATCCATGTCAATTAAAGTTCTGAGTAACTTTTATGTTAAATTTTTCCATGTGGATGGTAAAAGCCTCGGTTCGTTAAAATTTCATTATAAAAAATGTACATTCGGACACTGGTACTGTCACCCAAAAGCTTCGTGAGCTTGGATAAATCAGTGGCGCGTCTGAAAGTTGACAAATTTAAATCAGGAGTAAACGCGCGCTGGGGTTAATGCTTGTGTGTGCGTATACGTATGTAGCCGTGTTTATAAGTAATTATTATATTTTTTTTAACAGACAAGGTCTCATCAATTGGCGCTAATCATGTCACGTCTGATGTTCTCGTCATTGAGTAATCACGTCCACGTCTCTTGGGACATTATTTCTTTTTTCCTCGCGCAAACCAAGCGATATCGTCGTCTGCACGGACGATAAGAGCGCACAGAGATTTGTTGAAATTTTACGCACACGTAAGAGAGAGAGAGAGAGAGAGAGAGAGAGAGAGAGAGAGATAAAGAAACAGAACCGTAAGAAAACGCGACAAATGACACGTTTGTCAGATTCGCATGCGATTGGATCGCGCGACTGCATAGAGCAACTCAAAGAAATGAACGAGCCGCTACAAGTTCCCTCGCAGGTTTACCTGCGGAGCGTGCGGGGGCGAAAGCAGCTTTATTCGTTATATTGATTAGCACGCGAGTCGAGTCGAGTCTCGAGTGCGCGCGTGAGAATGCTGTATTGTGAGTCGTAGAGCACATGACAAACTGAATCGCTCGATATTATTTATGCTCCCACCCGCTCGCTCGTTTATCCGTATTTCTAGTCTTTTTCTCCATCTCGATATCGATTCAATTCGGAATAGTTGCCTCGGTCTGGCCACGTGTTCAACGCCCGAAAATAAATTAAATCCAACGAGCGAGTCATTTTGAACGAGCAACCATGAGTTGGCAGCGCGAATGCCTTGTAAACATAGAAATTATTAATTCCTCGTGCGAGAGATTTTTTTTCGTTGATTATTACAGCGCAATTGATCAGGTATCAAAGAGCGAGCTGCATCGAGCAGTAGTGCTTTATCAGCTCCCACACTGAACGATGCAAGACCAATTGTCAAAATGCGCGCAACAGAGAAAGAGAGAGAGAGAAAGAGCACGAGTCGAGAGTACGGCTGTTTGTAAACGATATATAACCTTTATCTAGGCCTGCATCATGCCGTGTCCATACGATAATCATGTACGAGAGCGAGGCGGTGCCAGCAATGATTTTCTTTTTGCATTGAATCGATCAATGACTTCAGCACTTGTTCTCTGAATTATGCGCCAAGTCGCGAGACATGGAAAAATTTTCTCTTTATCCGCGAAAAAGACGCGCTGTGTTCGACGATAAAACTAAATCGACGCTTTCCAGTTGTCATTTCGTACTTACCGCTCATGCTGTTGATCAGCTGTAGGATGAGAGGTCGTCTGGTAACGATACCCGAGCCTCTGGGCAGAAAATCCCTGTTGACAACAAAAAAAAGAGGACAAATTTAATGAGATCAATTTTGTAGGAAACATTTTTATTTTTACTTTCGTAGCGCTCGATCCACCTCACACACATCTTAAAAATTTGTTCATAAATATGTACTGCTTTACAGTTACAAGACCAATCTTTCATCCTTGGTTGTTAGTCGGTAATTTTATCAAAAGGTATTATGCACGCGTACCACACGCACATGCGACATTGCATATCACACACATTCTTTTATTTTCCTTTCTTCCTTTTCTAAACTTGTGTTGTGAAATTTCTCTTGTTTGCTTCACTAAAGCACGAGACTTTCATGTATTTTCCGGCTGCGCTTTGCATGCGCGATTATCGATCGATACATTCATAGGCTTGAAAGATCGTCCACAATGCGAGATGCAGTGCAGTATGTTGCACTTGATCAGTTGCATTGGCGACGATGACGAGTTCCAAAGATCAAATAGAATTATATTACCTTTGAATCGAATTTATCAAGACATCGGCAAAGACAAATGAGAAGAATGGATCGTTGTAACCACGTCCACACACTATTAGAGTCACTACGATTGTGATTGTTAGTATGCAATAACTATTAATTCTATAATGAAACATTTTTTGATAACACCAGTTATAGAATGAAAAAGTATGTAAAATTTTTATCAAATACATCTAGTAAAACCGAGAAGTGACTGATAGTTATAACCAAATATTTAATAAAATTGGCATTTTTTTCTAGTTACAAAATAAACTGTCATAACTTTACTTTGTTTTTGCTAAAGTAAAATTAATCTAATTTCAATACAAAGGAAATCAAGAATAACTTCTTCGATAGTATAGTTATCTATCTTTGTAAAAATATTGAACACAAAAAAACAGATTAATGTTAATTTAATTTTAATTTAGTCATGTGGGTTATTTGAAATCAAATGATAATTTTTTATCAAAGACATAGTACACCCAAGCACATAAAGACATAGATACATTGATACTCTGATTTATTAACGGGTAATTCCATTGGAACAAAAATAGAAACTGGTCCGAACCTTTTTTTGGATATTATTCCAGAAAGCATTATGATAATAATGTTGAAGATTTGAATGATAACCTTATTCATTTTTTCAAACTACATGGAACATTACATATGTAAATGAGAATTCTTTAGTTTTTGGGACTTGACAAAGATATAATAGAAAATCAATAAAAAGGTTTTCTGTTACATTTTAAAAATACCTGTTATTTTTAAAACAATCACTAATTGTTTAGATATTTGATATTGCAAACAACCTTGCATGAATATCTGTTTTATTGTTCTGATGATAGTGAATCATCGATGATTCATTTATTCAGTTCATTGTTAAATAATTAAAAGCGGTAAAAATCTCTCATACTTTGGCATCGAAAGTTTTAAAACATACAGATGGTAATAATAAAAAAGTCAATAAATCAATACAAGCTGCAAGATTATTTGACCTAGCAGTGAACCAGAAAATGGTAGTCAAAAATAAATGGTTATATCAGACAATTGATAATTCCAACTGAAAAACATCAAGTAAAAAGAAAACATTAAAAACTGATAAATTAAGAAGAGTATGTTGAATGTAGCAAGATGCATCAGCTGTACAGTTTGAAGAATAATCAAACTTCCCTAACAAGTATTGATCAGTCTGAGCTAGAGGGAGTAGAGACTGAAGTTTGCCAAGTCAGTTGGCCTCCTTGCACTGTATCACACGCCTCGCATCCTTTGGAGCCACATCGTCATCATCGTATCATAAATGAAAAGCAGAAGCGTAGTTTGGCATGGTCGCATGGGAGATCGAGGAGGCATTATTACGCGCACGGCCGAGTCTTACAAGCTCTATAATGGTCGATAGCTGCTGTCTCATGCATTACACTTACTTTCCGACGAAGTTCTCGAGGACAGATGACTTTCCTGCACTCTGACCACCGACGACGGCAATCTGAGGCAGGTCGAGCTGCATCGTGACTCCGAGTTGCGTGAACGCATCCTGGAGCTTGTTCACGATCGGAATCAGCTGCTCCATTCCCGTATTGCCCGACATGGTGGAAACTATTTATTAGTAAATAATCGACACTTATCACTTTGGCTCGTTGGCAGCACACACACACGCGCGCACTAGTTCTCCAGACCAGCACACACTAATATTCGTTACAGCATCAATAACAGCGAGTGGATTTCAGCGCTTCTCGGCGAAGTTCAGGTCCTCCTTCGAGAACACTTGGTCCGACCTCTGCTTGTTACTTGTTAATGCTGCTGCTGCTGACTACCGCTGCGCGCTCGTATCAGATAGTCTCCTCTTGTTCGATATATAGAGAAGGTGGGAGGCGTAGGGAGCTTGGGAGAGGTGAAGGGGGCGCAAAATGGCCGTTTTTTTTTGCACGACCAGCAGTAGATGCTCGAGCACGAATGGTGGATAATCCAGGGCGTATCAGCTAGGCATTTTTCAGAAGCTCGGGGTCCCCACAGGTAGACGAGCTGGCTCGGACAATCGCGAAGGACGAGCTCGGTCGCGCTGGACAGACAGCAGCAGTTCAGACTCGGAAAACGAGCGATCGAGGCTCCGCGAATCGCGACTCCGAAAGCGCGAGCGAGCCGCGGCGAGAATGAGTACGACGACTACGTAGTGTGTCTGTGTCATATGTGTGTGTGTGTGTATACAATTTTCCCCAACCTTTTGCGTCTGCGCACGCAGTCGACTTTCTGCAATAGCTTATACATTCGCTCTTGCTAGATGCCTCTCGCTCGCAAGGCAGCGTGCCAGCGATGGAGACAACTCACGCGCTTGACTTGCTTCGCGACGTGAAGCAAGCATCAAGTTAACAGTGAGTTAGCAGCCGAGCCCGAGTTGCGCGCGTTGCTACTTCTCCTTCTTTCTCTTTCTTTCACATACAATTTTCACGCACACGATGTTTTCGGCCGCGCGACTCTCTACACGGACTACTTGTTTTGGCTTATATGATGTATAGGGTAGACCCTGTTTTCTGTACGGCCAGAAGTTAGTCGAGATCGTTGACGCTTTGGCTTCATTTTCTTTGGGCGGCAAGTTCCAACTCGGGTTTTTGGAGTCGCCACTCCGAATTTCGTAAGCAAGTTGATTTAAGGTCGATTCTGCTTCGAACATTATGCTTCGAACATTATGCTTCAGCTTGGAATTGGCTTTTATGTAAATGCTACTAGAGCTTTCGAATGAAGCATACAAGATTGTTAAAATTGCGAGATGCTCTGTAATGATAGATAAGTAATGCAGAAGCGGTTGATTGAGTAAATGTTGATAGAATTTTACGATCGCATACATAAAAAGTATGGAGTGTGCGCAAAGCTATCTGAAAAATGGATGATAACACGATTCATGTCTGTGACATCGATTCTACGAGGTTATGATGAACACACGAACGCGCGGCCAAGTCGGTGCCGATCGATAGCACCGAACAAAAGTAAGTAACACGCGTCGAAACTCGAAACTGCAATGCGCGGCAGAATGTAGCTGGAAGCTGGCCGTGGGTCGTCTGGCATGTGCGCGACAATATTACAAATTGACCTACGAAAATAGAAAGTAGCTTCAGTTGATAGCTCGCATTAAAAAAACCTGCAACGACCTAATGTATTGTTGTAGTAAATGGCCCTCGCCGTCGACCAAGTACCTATAAATGTAATCTCTATGAGCTTCGTGGAATTGAAAAAAAGGAAAACTGCTCCGAAACTTGTAAATCGATCTGCTGTTCGCATTACATTGAACTTACATGTACTCCATTGGGTAAACAACCAAACAGATGAACAGATTTCTAGTACGCGAACAATTGCTGACAATTATTTGATTATATTAAATTATCGTTACTATTTAATGAGCTCGTGATATTTTACTGTTAAATAAAAATACCGCTATAATTATTGAATATTATTTTTGAACAACCATTAAAGTAATCAATCATCTAGCTTCTGGAAGCTTGTCCATCTATTAAGTTACTATACTATCCTATAGTAATGACAAATTGTAAAGGATAGATGTTTTCAGTTATCAAAAAATCGATTATCTTTGGTCGTATTGATGAAGCGCATACCTATGCGGTAACGCATAATCAGCAGATTTTCGTCGCTTACTTACATCGTCGCCCCAGCGCAAAAACCGCACCAATGTAAACTCGAGAGGCAAAAACGTGCTCTAGTCCTAACTTTTTAACGTACTATATTTCATGAGTATAACTATATGTATCTTTTCAAAATTGGACTAAGGCACGCTTTTACCTCTCGAGTTTATATTGGTGCGGTTTTTGCGCTGGGCGCGACGGTATACTCGAAACGGCACCTCGATAGGATTCGAATTGAAAACAATATTTGAAAACTATCAAGTAGTCTCGAGTGAAAAGAAGAAAGGAAGCATAAGAAATTTCCTCTCTGTTGTTTAGGAATAGGAAATCAGTATGAATATTTGACCAAATTGTGAACTTGAATTGTATAAGTTCAAAGTCACTTTTGCTCCTTCTTTTGGGGAATTCCTAGGCTACACTCATAAATTCCACATAGTATTCTCATTACTTGCACGTTAATTAAAAGATCAGCTTCCTTGAAGTGTAAAAAAAAACACAGTGATCTCAGTCAAAGTTGATTTTTTGAATTATCTTAATCATTCTTTCCCGAACAAAGCTCGACTTTATTTGACAATTTTAAATACACCATTCAGAATTTTGTTTTTTCTCCAAAATTTCTCTAACAATTTTAGGATATGAGAGAGTCGAAAAAATGTTTTAATTATTGAATACTTTGACTACTTTACATATGTAACTGTATTTCATTTCAAGGACTAGTATTTTTCGCAATAATTTGAAAACTTTACTTAAGTCTAAGCAACAAACGCAAGTAAGGCCGTCTATAGACCGACATCATTGATGATCCTCTATTAACTCTTAAAATGTATTCAGAATTGTGGAAATTAGTATCGAATCACAAGTCTTAGAATTCTGAATAAGATCATTTACTCCCTGGTTCAATGAGAGACGAGCGTCTCGGCGATGAAATCTGCTTTCGATTAATTTAACGGATGAATCCTTAGGAAAATTCTCATACTTTGAGGTTTCAGCTACAAATTGACAGTCTCATTATCGATTAATGAAAACGGTGAAAGGTAATATTTACAACATTTACAAACGAACGTCGTCGTAAAAAAACTTGGTTATTTTATCTATTTAACTCAATAAGTTTTCAATCGAGTGTTTTCGTAATGATTAAATATCACTTATTTGTACATCAATGTTCATTTTTAAAAGTTAAACTTGATTCGATTCATTAGTTTGTGAAATCAAAAAATTTTAGTTTCTCATATTTTATAATCTTTGATTGTGACACAAAAATTGAAACTCTAGTGTAATTACAATAACATAAATATGTTTTGGTTACATGAGAAATGTTAAATAGGTAATTTGCATACTATAGTTATGTTGCGGTCGCGAGAAAGAAAAAAAGTGACCGTCAGAGTGACCATTACGATGCCGCACTTGTTCACAATGAGCATGCATTAATCATTTCAAAAGATTCACGAGCAGCGTGAAGAAAAGCCGTGCATGTGAATCAGAGATGTGAATTAGAGATTATAGATAACAATATTATATATTAGATATAGATACAGGTATATTTTGGCAGATCGCTCGATTGTACTCGGGTTGTGCTTAAGATGTGATTTTATATGACCAAGACCGATTCGTTTAATATGTAGGAGATGTTTGATAGTACGTAGCCAAATAAAGTTAAAATCGCATGAGTCTTGGGCAGGAAAGCCGTCGATTTTGAAGCTTCCAGTAGAAGCGATAAATGACAACTGGCAGCATCGTATCGACGAGCCGCATTCATATCATGAGTTGAGAAGATATAATATACGTCGCTCGACAAGCTACCGGAGCAGTGACAGAGGGAGTCCATCCGCTCCACGACGACCGTGGCTTGGAGCTTACCGGCTGCACAAGTGCAAGCGCCCAAGTAGCGGCAATACTCATGTTTGAGGCAAACTACACATAACACAACAACAGATCGCGTACTTTAGCACGCACACGCACAAGCATGACATATACCTACACGTAACTTGTACACAACACACATAGATTATCTAGCAGAGTATAGGTATAGTCATAGTAGCAGCAGCAGCAGCAGAGCCAAAGAGGGCCGCAATTGGAACAGTAGCAGTAGGCCAGCGCGCGATCGCTGCGTGCAATTCGTCGTGGCACCCAAGAGATTGAAAATTCGCAAGACTGGACTAGGGCTTACAGCAGTCACTAGTCTCTAGTCTTGTAAGACGGCGCAGTGCAGACTGCCAAACTACGAGTGCTGAGGTGTGCGGACTGTGGTTCATCGAGTCTGTCGTCAGCGCGGTGCGCCTCGATCCGAACGTCAGGAACACCTTAGCATAGCGGCCCAACATGTCCGAGCTCGACAGCTGGATTGAAATTGCCAAGGAATGCAAGTACCTGCCAGAAAACGATCTGAAGGTTCGTATAGTGGCAAGTGCATTCTCGAGGTTATGGAATAGTGACCAGCTTTTGATTTCGCATAATTTCATCATTTATTTTCTGTGCAGAAATTATGCGACCTCGTCTGTGACATCCTCCTCGAGGAGTCCAACATTCAGCCAGTCTCTACTCCAGTCACCGTCTGCGGCGATATCCACGGTCAGGTAAGTCTTGGACATTTCCTCCTACATGCAGATTCTTCTAACCTCAATGCTCTGTCTCTGTATACCTGTTAACATCAATCTCCGAATTGCATAGGTATACGAGCCATTTACGGCAAGCACGCACGATGATTTTCATTTTTTTTTCTCTCACACCACCTCGTTTACGTTTTTCTGCGACTCATGAATAATGGAGCGACGTATGAGTATGTATAGGTATGCAGATGATACCGAGCTGTATATATCAGACGTACAGTTCTCAGAGGCATTGTATAATATGCGAAAATCTATAGACATACCTACGATGCTCTCTATGCACCGATCCGCTCTATTTTTGACTGCCTTGCACCTACCGCGCATCGTTTAGGTAGATCTATTATAAAGCTGTTAGGTCTGCAATAGCCACTCCAAATTATTGAATAGGGGCCAGGATGTTGAATGTTAAAACAATACTCATTTATCGAGTAATTGACACGATGCACAACTTTTGCTTTCAGGCAGCATATGAACATATATTCTTAATTAGTTCTTTCATTGTACTCTTTACTTCCTGTAAATATGCATTCAATAGTTGCTCTTTTATTTTTACAGTTCTATGACTTGGAAGAGCTTTTTCGAAATGGCGGACAGGTGCCTGATACAAATTACATATTTATGGGGGATTTTGTTGATCGAGGATATTATAGTTTAGAAACGCTTACTCGCCTATTAACACTAAAAGCCAAATATCCTGACAGAATAACTTTGCTCCGAGGAAATCATGAATCTAGGCAAATCACTCATGTTTATGGTTTTTATGGTGAGTCAGTCATTATTAATTAATATAGAATATATTTTTTTAATATAATACATAAAAACATTGTTCACATTTACAGATGAGTGCTTGAATAAATATGGAAATTCAAATCCATGGAAATATTGCTGTAGGGTATTTGATTTACTCACAATTGCTGCCGTATGTACTTTCATTTAATTTATTTAATTTTTGTTTCAAATAAAATTTACATAAATTTTTGTACTTACAGTTAATAGATGATCAAATTCTCTGTGTGCATGGAGGATTATCACCACTTATCAACACGTTAGATCAAATTAGGATAATTGAAAGAAAACAAGAAATCCCTCATAAAGGTAAAAAAAATGTTGTTTTGCATCAATTTTATAATCTTATCACTTGCTATGATCTTTTTCACTTTCATTTTATAATGAATATTAAAAAAATATTTTTTCTTTCTTCTAACAACAGGTGCTTTCTGTGATTTGGTTTGGTCGGACCCTGATGAAGTTGATACCTGGACTGTTAGTCCTAGAGGTGCTGGTTGGTTGTTTGGAGCTACAATAACTGATAAATTTATGCACATAAATGATCTTAAACTTATATGCAGGGCTCATCAGTTAGTTAATGAAGGTATTAGATCCTTTTCACATTTCAACAATATTTTATACATATATAGGTGCAAAAATTAATACTCCTTTTAATGATTAATATTTAATTTCTAGGCTATAAGTACATGTTTGATGACAAATTAGTAACTGTTTGGTCAGCTCCTAATTATTGTTATAGATGTGGCAATATAGCTAGTATTTTACAGTTCGACAGTTGCGATGAAAGAACTCCGGTGCTATTTGAGGCGGTGCCAAAGAATGAGCGAGTGATTCCTCCTACAGTCACCACCCCCTATTTCTTGTGATTTTGGAACAATGTGATGCAACATTGGGCCTCTAAATTATCGTCCAGCAGACTGTGCGGAATGTGAAGCAATCGAGCACTCGAGTAAATCATGTTCCGAAATTATTTATTAATTTCATTGTTAAATGGATCGTTTTAACATTTTTAACTTTAAGGTGGGAAAATAAATTATCACCATTCTATTAAGCACATCGACGTTTTGTAAAGATTTTGCAGAAGCTTTATTATGAGGTTTTATAGAAAAATTAGGGTTTTTAAAAAACCAATGGCTGTAAATTTTGCTCTTTCTATAATGGTCGAGTTCAAACAGAGAATGAGCTATGTATAGTAACGTTGCGCTTTTATTGTTACTTATAATGTATAATTTACGGAGCATGTGCGTTTTGAATGAGAGAAAATAACGCTTGTTTTGTTTTATAAATCAATTTTGAGAACTTTCGTAAAAAGTTCAAATGAAAATGTATTTCATTTCGATGATGACATAAAATTTTAATTAAAAACATTCCGATAAAGCTCAGAGGTATGAATGTTTTACTATATAAATAATATCAATGGTGTAGAAATCAGCTTTAGCACCAAAGGAACATACAATTAGTATCGATAAGGTCTTCCTGATGAGAGAGGATTAAAAGATTTAATTCTATTTTCAATTATGTGCAGAGATTTGTGCCCATGTAAAAATAATTATTAAAATTGTAAATTTATGTAATATAATTTATTTTTGCCTTAGTAAATTAATTTTTTTTATTAGATATTTGATTACTAGAAAATATGTTCATTGGTAATGAATATTTTTTGTTGATCAGATTATCTTTAAAAATACGATGAAACAGCTATAAAACAAGAGCTTATACTGAAGTTGAATCATGTCATTTACATTTGTTGAATGCAATTTAGTAAAAGTGTATTCTTTCGGTAAAGAAAGATGCACGAGTAGTTGTTTTTCAACCATTAGAGTTTTACTCTGTGTGTGTTCTATAGTTAATAACAGTAGCCAAAGTTCTCAGTACATAGTAAAATATATGCGTAATTTACGTAATTTTACCAGGTATTTTTATGCAAAAACTTTAAACATTTGTTGAATCACTGTCACTCATGCTGTGGTATGTTTTCTTGTTTTGTTATAAAGTTTCGATAAATTATAGAATCGTTTAATTAAACAATAGAAATCATTTTATTAACATGGATACACATTAATTGATAATTTTGTCCTAATCATAACTAAATTTTTACTTATTGTGAAAACCAGAAAAAAGTACAATGCTAATTTTGTCATTAATTTGGACAAAAATTAATTTATGTTAAATCAATCAATTTTTCACTGCAATAATTTGCCGAATCAAAATTTTATTGCCCAGTATCGAAAATTCTATAATGACAGGCTTATGATTTTTTTTTATCTAATGTCATCTAAATTTTTACAATTGTAATATTCTCCTTTACAATAAATTTATTTACTATTACATGAAATACATGTTCCAATAGTACAAAGCTAATATTTAAAAAAAAGTTCTTTTATAATGTTAGAAATTTCATCATTGCTATATCAAAGTATAAGTTAAATATTGAATTAATAAATTTCAAACTCTTAAAATTTATTTTAAAATTAGGTAATATAAGCTATTAGAACCATACTACTGATAATTCTGTTGAATGATATATATTTTTTCATTGTAATCTAAAGAAAAATAAGTACATTAAATCGAACAGTATTTAACTTCTTAGTTTCAATAAGAAACAGTTTATTTGTTTAATAACTTAAAACTTATTAAGATTGGAATTTGTTTCGTGAAAATCAATTACAGTATTATTTTTGTATTAAGAAGTAATTTAAAAGTAAATGCATTAAACCATCCTGTAAATGAATAAACTGTAAACGATTTTTACGAAATGAGAAATTTTGCGAAAACATTGAACGAAGAAAACGAGCTTTTTTATAGTAATAAAATACTACATGCACGGCCATATGATTATTTTTAATTTGTAATATTACGGTTAAAAATAGACCATTAGAATTAATTATTATGAATGATTTTGATTCGAATGTTAAGTAATAATTTGGATGTTTTTATTCCTCTAATTTAAAACATCAGTGCTTTAAAAGTTGTATACTATGTTTAAAACCAATTATTGTCATTTGATTGGAGAAAATCTTATCCTTCAAAGCTAAAAAAAAACAATATTACAATAAAAATTGACTTTGGGAGAAGCTTAATAAGTAAAATAAAAAATACTCTTTGTAGATAGTTATACATTGTCGTTTAAAGATTGAGCGACAAATTCAAAAAAATGTTTCCATTTTGGAGAACAAAGTATAACGAGAGACCCTTAGCAATGTGCCTCTGAACTAGAATGTGTGATGGTATATTAGAATGAAAAAAATGTATAAAAATTACATTCACGCAATTGTTGGAAAACGTCGGCGACAAAGCAATGTTAGAATTCCTTGCACACAAATCCAAACTGTTTATATCAGGCTGTGGGTTGCTGCGCGCACACCTCTCGCAATTGTCGTTGATCCTTCATTAAATGTACATATAAAAAATGCTAACAATTAGGTAAAAAAAGTATGAATAATTTTAATATTGTTAAGATATATGTGCGCTTTAGTATTACGCATTACACTGAATTCCGTCATTGCTTTGCGTTTATTAGCTTGAAAATTTTTTAATGGGCTTTTAATTGGTTGAAAGTCTTTGATCATGCGAAAATCCGGAAGTTCTAATTCTTTCAAGATTGTGATTTTAACTAACGATTATGCATATTATTATAAATAGTTTCTTGATCATAGAAAGAGTTTATCGTACGGATGCATTAATTTATTGTTCCAAGTTTTGCGCGATATTCTTTTTATTTTAAGAACATAATTTGTACATATTATTAATTTAGTTATAATTATTTATTTTGCAAATTTGTACATTTTAGTTATTGATTTGAGTTTGATTTCTCGTCTCATTAATAAAATTGCTTTTTAATTATTGGTTTAAAAAAACCCATGTAATATTTTAATTATCTTATTGAGATTATGATCATAAAATGATATGAGTTTTTCTCAAGCTATTCAAGTAGACCAGAAAATGTGCTTTTTTGTGTCTGTCAAAATTGTAGAAAACAACTATCCTTGTCGAAATCACTACCCAACTGCTCAAAAATTAGTGCAAGTATTTCCTCAAAGCAGTGCCTTCGGAAATTTTGGAAAGACGATATTTATACATAGACTATGGTCTTTTCTTTTGAAAAGACAAATTAGACATGGATCATAAATGTGTGCTAGTCTTCATCGTAAATAGCTCGTCTTTATCCTGGATGGAAGGTCATTTTTACGACACAACGATTTTTTTAATATATGTTTAATATCGGGTTAATTTGAAATCTCTTAGAACTATTGTCGCTGTAACTAATGATTCATCAAAACAATAATGTTAACCGTCCCTTTTTGTAATAGGTATTATTGCTCGTACATGTTACGGGTTATTTTATACTTTACAATAATATGAGTAAGTGTAAATAGCTCGATTGTTTTTCGTTGCGAATACGATTCGAGAATAAGCCATTTAAGTACATTGCGTTTCCATGAATGAAATTCAATTGTGCCAAAGATATTTTTAATGATAATTATAATTTTTTTTTCCCATCGATTAAAATTGTATCGTGCCTTTACTTGGAAATTATTTTCGTAAAGTCGTCAGTCTCGAAATCGCAAAAGAAAAATTCTGTGGAAATTTAGGCTGTCGATATATAAGTATTGCCTTACACAATGTGAACATTTATCAATTACGAAGAAACTGAATCCATGTCGTATACCTACCGTACTCTGTGCATTATTATTAGTCCTGCTTTACAAATCGGTGTCTTATTGTATATATACTAATCATACAAGTTGTTAATGTGTCTTCATCTTCTCTCGCGTATAATATAATCTTGTAAGTAATATAGGTTTCGTATAGTTTTATTATAACATAACGAAATGCTGAAACGAAAGATATGATCAATATACTATATAACATTTTATGTGAATATAGTAGAGTGAGCAGCTAATTGCATGAAAAATTTTTCAATTTTTGTCCTTTTGATTTCGACAAGGAACACAATTATCCGAACATTTTTGAATAGCGCATGGTAAACATAAAATACCGAAATTATTTCCCTTTCATTCTGTAAATATTTTAAATACAAATTATCTCACTTAAGGTTAAAAAATTATATACATAACTTGCGCGGGATTGTCGTAAATGACACCCTCGAAAATCACCTTAGTGAAATGCATGCAGTAACTTCTCGCGCAAATTAAGACACTTTTGACAGTCTCTCAATACATGCAGCAAAGTATTGATATAAGTGTCAAATCAAACCTAATGTATTCATCTGAACTTGATCAATCAACATAAGTCATATCCGTGTGTATCTTCAATTATTAAGTACAGTGATCCAGTTGTAGATAAGTATCCTACAACTGGTACCAATTATATCTTTTCTTAATGTAAAGTCAATATTACTGAGTTCTGATGAAAAAAGTAAGGACCAATGAAGAAATAAACTTTGGAGCGAAAATTGAGCTTTTCTTGTGTACGTACAAGAAAAGCATACTCAACGCAATTATGAAATGAGCACATACGATTACATTAGCAAACGAATAGAGGAGTGAGTTCGCAATTTTATTCGTTGAATAAACTAGCTGGTACTCGCTTGAAAGAGTGTTAGCAATAAAAGCTCAATATATATTTTCACAACACCATTTATAGTTGTATACGTCGTGAGCTAAAACCAAAATATTTTCCACGATCAATTTAATTAGGCTGGTGCATTGAACGAGATACTTGATATAAGACCTTGGCAATGAACTTGCGGACGAAAAGAAAAACGAAAAAAACAGTTGACATTACGAAAGCACACAATTGTACAAAAATTTTAAAAATTCATATTTCGGGTGATATGTATAAAATGTACAGAAGAAAAGTCGAACATATCGAGTCGCTGTTAAACGTAGCTTGAATGAGAATCATCGCGTATAGCTAATGTTTACTTTTTAGAACTTGAATCGTGCATGATAAATCAAATATATACCCTCATAGGTATTAGGTAAAGGATTGTCGACTAAACCTAAAAAATATGTAACTCTGTTGTGTTGAACTAATCATGAAACATCTGTAATAAAAATTCATAAAATAAACTTGCTTTTATAAGCCTAATTTAGACCTTACCCAATAAATTTATGGATGAAGGAATCAATTCAAATACGTTATAGTTTTTATTAATCTTTAATTAGTTTATTTAATTGTAATAATATTATTTTCGTCGTGAATATAATAATTCTTTTTACTCCTTAGCATGTATATGCATATACGTATGAATACATACACATGTACATATATTTATATGTATACATACTTATTTATAATAATTCATCATGTATAATATATATTATCTACATTTATAATCCCTAATGAAAGGCATCTCCAACCAGACTTCATTTTTTTTATTTTAAAATATCTTATTTATTCATAAAAATACAATAGGGGAGCAGATGAGCTCATCGCATGCGCGATTCCTGAACCACTCACGACTGGACGTCACTATCACTTATGATTATGATCAACAAATCAATTTTCAACGATTATGTGCGTAAATAAATTTCCTTTCAAACGTATTTATCGCTTTTAATTTTTTTTATTTTGCGAGGTAACAGCCCTACGTTGCTTAGATA